ATTCTCCATTCAAATGGAAACGGCTACCCACTGGATTGACAACACGCCATCATCAGAGGGAGGTGATGACAACAGAACATACGTGTGTCATGCAAAGTTCTTTGGTGCGCTCGCTAAGTTGCAGTGTGAAACCAAAACCAGATCAAATGTATACAATGTAACAAAAGCATGAACCTTGGTTTGGATCTTGCCCCGACTTTCAGGTACGGAAAAAACCCTTCAACTTTGCTTTCAGACTTTTTTTCAGACTTTTCTCTGACACTGCAGCCACGTTCTCCCGTCGGCTCCTGCTCGGCCTTTTTCTTTCGAAATCTCTTCAAACACAGAGCGGTTGTGATAAGTGTTTCTGATTGCAGTAATACATCCGGCAGCGACTTTGTTTATTTCCCACTAAGCACTGCCACTCTGTTCTTCTGCCTGGAAAAGTTTGTTGATATCTTTGGGCCCTCCAGGCAGGGATCTTTTACTTTTATTGTCAACAAAAAAGGCCTAGGTGCTGAGTGCTGGAGGACAGGGATAGATTTGTTTTCTGCTCTCTTCACCGCAGGGAACGCTGGCTCATTCTCTCCATTTTCTCCGTTCCATCTTCTCTCTGGCTCCTTCCGCATGTCATTTGTATTCCGGAGGGAGCTCGGAGAGTTAGTTAAGCCCAAATGTGTCCACTGACGTGTAGGCGGCAGACCAAGACACGCAGATCCACTCCAGCGCTGTCGTCCTGAGGGCAGCGTCCCGTTTAATTAGACCTGCTTAAGCCCCGCGATCCAAATGATTAGAAACAATAATCACGTACATGCATAGTTAAGCACACACATGCGTAGCCTGACATAGTGCACAAAGACAGGCACCTTCCACAAGTGTAGCACATGTGAAGATGAAGGCTGGATGATTTGCCATTGAAGACCCTTTTTAGTTCAGGCTTAATCTGGCTCTTGGCATTCAATCAGTTTGGACACACCTGATTGAATTATGTTTTTATGATCTTAAATTAGTCTAAAATCTAAAAGGCGTTTACTTAAATCCTTGAGGCCAAAATAATAAAGTAATACAAAGTTACATTTGTTAAGCTTCTGCTTTGTGTTTGCCTAAAGTAACCTAATACAACCAAATAAATAATCAAATATATACGTACAATATGGTGGAAAAGTTAGAGACCACCCTTCATTTCTTTAATTTACTGTCAAAACAGCCATTAAGTAAAATAGCCATTCATTTTTTAGCGTCAGGGAAAAAAGCAGAAAATGTTTATATATTCAACAGAAAATAACACAACCTCAGTAACCAAACACAATAAACTGTCTCCAGTATTTAGTGTGTCCACACTTTGCTTCCTTTCCTTTAAAAGAAGATTTCAGGAGACTTGCTTACAGCTTTTCAGAGAAATCTGCAGGGATATTTTTCACACCTCCAAAGTTCAGTCTTAGAAGTTGGTTGCATTTTCTGCTTCTCACAATCCAAGTAATCCTGAACACATTCAGTGATGTTGAGTTGTCTTCTAACAGGGGAAGGGTGGATCTGGAATCTGAAGCGAGAGTGCAGCTTGGTTTTCTCAAAGGAGAAAGGTTTAAGTTCTGTTTGTGAGTTCAGACTATGCGGTCAACATGGTGGTGGTAATAGGAGGGAAGACTGATTTAGGGAGGGGGGAGAACTCTGAGAACTTGGGCTGGAGTTCTGGGCGGCTTCTGCCTGTAGCTAGAAAGCCAGACCCCCCTCACAGCTGTAGTAGGACTGATATAGGACGGAGGAACACGGGAGGAGATGGGGAGGGTGGGGATTGCAAACACTTCATCACAGGAACGGAAGGTGAGGATGTGAATTTATAGGGTGTTAAATTGGAGGAAGGAGGGGGTTCAGCCATGTTCCTCCCCCTGAACTTTAGTTATAACATAATTACATTTTATCTGATGGTGATATTTTTAGTGCTCGTCTAAGTCTTGCAGGTGGTTGTTAGGTGACCCATTTTCTTTGTTTCTTAATTTCTTTTGACTTTCCTCTTTTAAGAGGATTTTAAGAGGATTGTGTCTAATCTCCTCAGAAACATCTCCTGAAAAATGAATGACTTGTACTTAATGACCGTTCTTATAGGAAATTAAATAAATGAAGAGCAATCTCTGAGTTTTGCACAGAACTGTGTTTATGTGCAATTTGTACATTTATATAAGACAGTTCTGCTGTCGCCAGTTCTGGGGTCCTCGGGGTACAGATTCCTTGAATACTCCAACACCCTCGCTCATGTAAATGCAGTTGGGGTGCTGCATGAACGGTGGCAGATTTGAGAGACGGGTGATTGATAGGTACAAGAGGATTGCGCCTTTCTGTTGCTATCGTGTCTCTCCGAAGTGCTCTTCTGGTTTGCTGGGGCTGAATATTAACACGGGCCATCCTCGGACTCTCCTGACGCCTGTCATGAGGTACCTGGCAAACAGCCAGGCTCATGGCCTGCGCTAGCGCGCCGGCTGAGTGCTTTTCCCCTGCTTATCTTGCCATTTGGCTTAGGGTTTTTTCAGCCTTCCCCTCTGCTTATATAAATGTCACTTTTGTGCGGATGGTCAGTGTGTCCCAGGCTGGGTCTCGCTGACCTCACCCTCCTGTAAAGGTTAATGCACCCCAGAGTTAGGCCATGCCCCATGTTTTCATTTTACAAAGAAACAAAACTGACCTATCCATGCTTTGTCCACAAATACATTCTTCCTTAACTGGTGTCGCTAGGTTGGACAAACTTTACAGATGGCAAAAATCCACTTCACTTTAAAGTCCCCTATAGGGGCCAACACTTTCCTAGTTTCTCACTTTCATACCTAAATAACTACATGTTTTTAGTAGTTACTGAAAAATGTACTGGCTAATAAGTCTTTATCACTTCCTTTTCTGTCCTATTTAATCTTTTTTATCATATTTTAAGATTTAAAAAAATGGGAAACTCAAATAGTTCAAGGCGTTGAAACGGCTGGACTATGTTGTTGCAGCTGTTTGAAACTAGCCTGATTGCAAACAACAACAAATTTGCCACCATGCTAATTTTAAATTGATTATGCTGCAAAAAACAACTCAGATTCAGTCTTAACAGTGTGAACCTTCACACGCATAGAAAGCAACTAAGAATTCGTGGCCAGTATTCAAATGTTTTATTATATATATTGTACATTTAGGTGTAGCCTTTTGCTATGAGTGCCCCACATCCATTCTATTTTGTCATTATACCAGTCAAACCAGGGAAGTAAATGAAGGGTTCCCCAGTTTTCATAAGAAAGTCAGCCGAACTGAAGATTTTTGACCGCTTGAAAGAAGTGGTCATGTCACTCTATGCTTTTGTTTGGATCACTGAATATCACTACTCTGTAGCAGCGCTCATGTTGCAGGCTTTAGCAGTGCTTTTGAGTTTCCTGTCATGGAAACTGACTTGGCAAAACATCACATTTTTCTCAAAATCATACACAAAAATGACTCTAAACATTTTCATTTTTTTCTTTGAAGAAATGCTCTTTTCTAAACTTGATGTCATAATAAGTTTATTTTCAGGGCCCCGTCTGAATTTTGATTTTGAGACATTTAGAGGGTCCAAGAGGTTAATAAGTGGGTCCCCCTGTATTTTGTACCTTGGCTACAACAACGAAGTCCCACTATGTAGCGTTGCATTTTAAGCTGTAAACATTATTCTGAATGCATTGAACTTTCTATAATGCTTGTCCAAAATCGCTACATTTGTTACAAAAGAATCCAGTGGTCGGAGCATTGATACGTCAATTACCACCACTACATCTGGTCCCTCGGTCCGTGAGCTTTCTATTTTTGTCTCCGCTCATTATCATTCAGTGTTTAGGTTCAAATAAACCCAGTGTTCATTTGTCACTGAGGGGAAAACAGTGAATGGAAATTATTCCAAAGTGGCATTCAGAGGCACCAAACGCAGGCTAACGCCCTTTCTTTGCATTATTAGATTGTGGGGTCTGTTTATCACAGTAAATGTGTCCCACCCTTAAAAGTAAATAGTTCAAATAGCCTCAACTTTTGAAGCAGTTCATCAAAATGTAAATGGCTTTGAACTGGAGTGGTGTGGATGTATGGGCTCGGCTCACGCTCGCCCCAGAGACTCAGCAATCCATGCCAAATAGAGTTGATTCTACGCTGGCCGGTTAATGACAGAGGAGCTTGCTTGAAGCTATTGCTGTTCTCTTGGTGGGAGTAAGCTAGTCAAATGGGGGCTAAAATGGAGCATTATCATAAATGGATCATTTTATTCCCATTACGCAAATACATGCGTGGAACTCTACATATTCATTAGCCAGGAAATCTTTGAATTATTCAGTGTTTATTTCAAGTTGGCGCCCTTCGATATGGCTCTGGATTTAGATCCAGCACAAAGCATCCCTTCTCAGTGCTCTCACAGATCTCGCTGGGACAGGTAGCGGCATATTTTACATCAAAGCAGAAACGCAAAGCAGCCACAAATGTGAACTTTATCACCTATTTTAATATCTTTTTTCATGTTGTCTGACCTGCACTGTCAGAACATTATTGTATATGTAGCACATTGTTTTTTTTAATGGCTATATCATGTCCAGCATGGGTATATGATATTATATACATCAGTTCATTCTGACAACACAGTCTGATTGGTTGATTAGTGTTCTGCTCGTGCTATTTGGGAATTTTCACGAGAACTTTAGCTATGTCACCACATTTTGGGGAGTTATTTGTTTTTGTAAATTGTCATTTTTAATGTGGGACCACAGTTTGAACTAATTTGGTAGAATAGGGTTCGGGTTAGAATAATATGTGGTCAGCAGGCACCCTGTGGGCAGAACCTGGGTCAGAGGGGGCAGATAAATTGTGCAGCAACAGATGGGCTATAATCTATGACTGTACACCTAGATAGTGGACCTTTAAGTGGCCAGTAAGTGAAGGTATAAAGTAAGGGTTTCCAATAAAGTGGACATCAGATGTACGGGCCTTATATAACTATATAACTATAACTATAAATGGTTTTATGTCTCCTTTTGCAGCCTTCATCTTGGTAAGAATGACATATTGACGTTTTACGATGGCGATGACCTCACAGCCAACATCCTGGGCCAGTACAGTGGCACTCTCCCCAAATTCAAACTCTACACCTCCATGGCTGATGTGACCATCCAGTTCCAGTCGGATCCAGCCACCAACATCTATGGCTACAACAACGGCTTTGTGGTGCATTTCTTCGGTGGGTAGCTGTGGCTGATGACAGTTAGATTTATGACACTTTTAGTCAAAAGCTGTGTTCTACAAAAGGGCAGAACAGGGCGCTGATTCATTTTTTAACATGTGACAGCACTCCAAGGTCAGGGAATAGAAATGGTGGATGTACAATCTTCGTTTTTTTTGTGAAAAAACAGAAAGACCGATGATCGTTATGACGGACTGTTCCATCTTTGCTTGTTTTTCCCAAATGAGTCACGTTGGCAGGGCGGCAGCCCCCTCGGCCACCGGTGTCACAGCGAGCGCTGGTCCTGCCAGCCTGCTTGGCAGTGCCTTACCTTGGCACATAGCACTGTGAACAATCACTGTGAATAGATGGCATAGTGCTCTCTGGCTGTGGACTCATTTACATGCAAAATGGTGCACGCTGTGTCACCTCAACACCATGCCCCCTTTCCATCCCTGTCCACTTGGCTGCACCGAGCTTTTGGCGCTCAGCACGGGTCCAGCACGGTCAATGGCCAACTGCGAAATTGCTAGCACAAATCAGCCCTATTCTAACGATCCGGCTAAAATTGACCAGACACTCGATCAATTCAAAATGGCCTGATTAGCATAATGCTAACCCTCACCTCTTCTCTCATCCCCCATTGTGCTGCAGAGGTGGCCCGGAACGACACATGCTCAGAGCTACCGGAGATTCCTAACGGTTGGAAGAGCACATCCCATCCTGATTTAATCCATGGGACAGTGGTGACTTACCAGTGCTACCCGGGCTACCAGGTGGTGGGCTCTGAGATCCTCATGTGCCAGTGGGATCTTACGTGGAGCGGAGACGTGCCCAGTTGTGAGAAAGGTCAGTACCTGGTTAGCACGAGCAGCACTCTGGTTCTCAATACACTGAGAACCCCTCCTTTGTAGCTCCATCCTCCTGGTGTAAAGTTACACACTGTAGCCCATCTAAAGTGCATGGTTTTAGTCATCCTCTGGTGCTTTTATAAATCGTCAGTTTCTTTTCTGACAAATTGTGCAACAATACATGGGCTTTGATCTATATTTGTACACTACATATACCTGTATACCTATAAGGCAGATGCAGCTTATAAAGTGGCCAGTAAGTGGAACTATATGGTAAGTGTACAGATCTAAATACCCTAAACTCAGTCTGCATTTTTATTTGGTTATTGTCACTAATGCATTTCTGTGCAGATTTATGGTTTATTTTGAGTTTACTTACTTACTACACTGTCCACCTACTCATCTGCTTACCCACCACTTGAGTGTCCTGGATGCCCAGGACAGTTGTAGGTATTGTCATTGATTGCTTTCCATGGCATTGTGGGTATTGTTGATACAGTAAAATGCATATCAACCCAACTTTGTCCTTCCCTCAAACCACAGAGATGAATTATCACAGATACAATTTCACAGAGCTTTGCTTTGTTACAAAACAATTGAGTTGATTGAGGTAAAATGTCACACTGGGATAAACTGGTGTTTTACACATCTGTAACACAATAATTATGAGGATATTTTTGTGGAATTGCCCATCATACCTGGTAGAGAACAGCAGCCACCCTCCTTTGATCAACTGTTGGGCCCATTGCACTAAAGTTCCTCACGCTACTGCTGCTACTGTAGAAATTGCTTAATACACTTCAGGGAAAGCAAGAAAAACAATCTGCTGTGACTTTTCACAAACTCAACACCTCCTTCTAATCATCTATGAAGTGGCTGAGGTCGATACACTGTTCTTCATCCCCAGTTTCAATCAGGGGCACGTTGACTCACTCCTCAACTGAGGACTATAACGTTACTAGAGAAAAGAAGACAATTTATATAAGCGGGAGGTCAAAGGAGATTGAATGGAAAAGAAGGAGTTTGATTAATAGATACAAAGGAAGTGGAACTCCTAACAACCATCTGCAAGACCGGGTAGACCACAAACACTGTCCCCATCAGATAAACAACACTTAAAGCTTTCATCTTTGAGAGAGAGGAGAAAATCAAGCTGCTTCAGATCTGAAAACATCCACAGTCCATCCTTCCACTCTGAGAAGACGACTCAGCGCTGTGGGTCTGAAAGGATGTGTAGCTGTCAAGAAGACGTTACTGAGATAAGGACATCTGAACGTGGACATCTGAGACATGGAGTAAGGTTTTATGGAATGTTGAGTCTAAATTTGTAATTGGGATTATTTGGATTGTGAGAAGCAGGAAATGCGACCAACTTCTAAGACTGAACTTTGTAGGTGTGGAAAAATATCCCTGCAGATTTCTTGGAAAAACTGAAAGTGAGTCTCCTGAAAAGAATGGAAGCTTTAATAACAGCAAAGAGTGGACCCTGAAAAAAATGTCTTCTGTGTACTTAACATCCGTTTTGACTGGAAATTAAACCAAAGAAGGAAGGGTGGTCTCTGACTTACACAGTACTGTATGTGGGCTTTTTTATTTCTTGTATTATAACCTCAGTATCCACAGCCATTCTCTCTAACTAGCTGATAAATGTTCATACAGTTTATGCTTTCTGACTCACAAGCATTCCATGCAATCATACAATAGTCAATGTAAAGCGCTCTTGTGTATCTGGCTCTTACTCATACACCACTCAGATCACAGTCATTTCAAAAGGCATTCAGCTTAATGAGCATTGTCATTAAATGGTGATTAAATTATCTCTCGGTGGGCTTTGTGGAGGCGCATCTGCAGTCCTTCAGTGTTTCATTGTTAGTGTTTGTGGTGAATTACTCTAGTAAAGACTCTCCTCATACAGAGGAATTCTACATTAACGTCTAGCACTTAGCAGGACCGCTTTAGCATCAACATTGTCGTTAATGTACGTTCTCCATCAACGTCACGCTGTGTCTTTGGCTCTTGATGTGATAGATGTAGCTGAACAATACGCACGCAGTAACATAAACTACAGAGACAGGAAATCAGAGAGCTGAATAAGATAAGCAACTCGGAAGTCACTGGACACAGAACTGCAAAGAGAATAACTGCCACCTACAGGCGGCATACAGTTGTATACAGACAACTGAAATGACATGTTTTAGGATTTTCTGTGCAGGAATAAGTGAATAGATCCTCTATAGAGAACACACTTATATAGCATTTTTCTGCAAATTTAAGTGCACAATTTCTGTTTATTTGCTGAGTTTAACATGGTAAAAAAATAAAACATAAATAGAAAATGTGCCCTGAATTTTATTATAATATTGTTTGTTAAATTCAGCCAATAAACAGTATTTGTGCATTAAAATGTGATACATATTTTCACTTAGAAAATCAACAAAATGTCATTGGACTTTTGCATACAGTAGTAATACTACACTGATGGCAAAATGACATTATTGTTCACTATACATTGGAGGGGCGAATGGGGCAAAACACATTTTGGTTTTTACTAGATTATCTTCAAAAAGATATTTAAGAATATATATATATATATATATATATATATATATATATATATATATATATATATATATATATATATATATCACTGTTGTCGAAAGAAAACCTCATATCTCTAAAATGGTAACTTTACAGGAGAAGGAAAAACATACTTTACTTTTAATGAAACTCAATGGAACCAGACTTTTTTCCAAGTCATTTACGGCCGTTTCTTTTGGTCGATTCCTCATGAAATTTACACACAATGTAAAGGACAACAGCCTTTTTTAGGTTATATCAAAAACTAAATGACAAATATGGAGATACAAGGTTGTCTCCTGACAACAGTGATATATAAATATAGAAACGCGTGTGTGTGGCGTGCACTCGTCCCTCGTGCCCCAATGGCGGTCGCGAGAAAGCCAGCAGGAAGGTGGGGCCCGAGCTCCGAGCAGGGACAAAGCCCGGTGATGATGGTGGGGAGAGAACAGCGAGTGAGGGGGGGGTGGTGTGCACGCCACAATATATATAGATAGATTTTTTTTAATTATATCCCAGAGCCCCTTCTTTGTGGGGTTTCCATGTTCTCCCCATGTCTGCGTGGGTTTCCTCCCACAGTCCAAAGTTATGCAGTCAGGCCAACTGGAGATTCTAAATTGCTCCTAGGTGTGAGTGTGTGTGAATGTATATGTCTGTCTGTCTGCCCTTCTGCCCAATGACTGCTGGGATAGGCTCAGTTTATGATGAGCTTCCACTAATTTTTATTTAAACTGCACCCCATAACATTGATATAAGCATGCTAGAGACGTCATGGTGTATGACAGAGTCTCCAGCAGCACTGCTGTGTCTGATCGACTCGTGCCAGTGCAACACACACTAACACGCCACCATTTAATCAAAAGAAGGACGCATATCATGGTCAACTGAATTTTCCTTGCTTTCCTTGAAATAAAATTGTTTGATATAAACTGTAAACATTCTTAACATTTCAAAACATTCACCCTCCAATCCATACAGTCCATATATGGAAACGAAGCCCATTTTGAATTCATTGATTTGTGATGTCATGAAAAAACAACTGACTCATTTACATACATCCTACAGCCTGCGGCAGTTTAGCCCCACCCATTCATGCTGAAGTTGTAAGGAGTGTTTCAGCCCGGACTGCTTTTTCAGTGAGGCACAATATAGGACAGCCAATCAGAACAGATCTCATTTACATACATCAGTCTTAAAGACACAGTAACAAAAAAGCCTGTTTGATTCTAAGGGATAAAGAGAGGTTGGGAAACGGTCACGTAAAAAATGAATAATTGTTTTTGGTAAATAAAGAAGAAGTATGTTGGATATGGTCCCGTTAAGTACTGTGTATCTATGGGTCGACCTCCATAGAGAACAGTAATAAATCTCACTTGCTTTGTTTACATCTTTCATCTCCGTTATTCTTTATGAACTGCAGTTTCGGTCGTCTGTCTGATGCAACAGCCAGAAGGGCTCAATATCTGAGCCTGTTCATTTTTAATGCGGACCATATTGTGTCCTGTGGGCTGCTCAGAAAGTGGACAGTAGTCAACCTCACACCTCACGTCTTTGCGAAAAATTGTAATTATGAGAGCGGTGGGCCCACATACAGACCCTTAGAGTGTTTAAATGACCTCTGATTACTTCATCATGAATAACGTCACAAAAACAGTGCACCTGTGTGAGACAGCCTGCGTATGTGTATGTGTGCAGTGATGACGTGTCAGGACCCTGGTCTGGTGGAGCACGGCCGCAGGGTGCTGACGGGGTCCCGCTTCACTGTGGGCTCCAGCGTCCAGTACGTGTGCAATAAGGGATACTCACTGTCCGGCCCCGGAGTCCTCACCTGCTACAGCCGCGACACGGCCGACCCCAAGTGGAGCGAGAGGCTGCCGAAGTGTGTCCGTAAGTCCAGTAAACAGAACACTCCCTGCCACAGGCATGGAGTCACCGATCACACTCATCACTTATGTTGTTTCATATGCAATAATAATTTATACAATGCAAATTTAAAAGTAGATTTAAACATTAATGTTAATTCATTATAATTTAGATTCATATGAAATCCTTTAAGATTTTATTCAACATTTCAAGTATTCTGGAGCCATTAAGAAGTTATTAACTGATAAATAATGTACTGTAATTATCTGTTTACAGTGATGTTTGCCCAGTTCATGCTTCATTATCACTACTTTTGAAATATGTGGAATTCTATATATACATTTTATTAGAACTTCAGTCTTGATGCTGTACAGCTTTATCAGTCATTTTAGAATCATCTGTCACTTTGTCCTCATTCTGGACACATCTAGACAATACATTACTACTCTTTTACAGCTAGTCGTAGGAAGAGATATATTTATATAAAAGCAAATGATTTCCTGCTGAGTCTGATCTACTCATACCAGCACAACACACACTAACACACCACAACACGTCAGAGTCACTGCAGTGCTGAGAATGAACCACCTAAATAACACCTCTCTGTGGTGGTCCTGTGGGGGTCCTGACCACTGAAGAACAGGGTAACATTGAGTATGCAGAGAAACAGATGGACTACAGTCTGTAACTGTAGAACTACAAAGTGCTCCTATATGGTAAGTGGAGATCATAAGATGGACTGTGAGTGTAGATACAAGGAGGTGGTGTATAAATACACACATATATGCACAAACCAGTCTCTTTTACATGAATACACATCTCTAGTAATATAGATAGATAACTATTTGCTTTTACATTATTGAAAAAATTGATTCAAAAGTTTTCAATAGTAGTGATCAAACACGTGCACATCTACATTTCAGTAAAAGGATGAATGTTATTGCTTATCAGAGTACAGTGCAAGGGATTAAATTGTTGCCCTCTGTCGCCACCTAGTGGATTATTGCGCTGCACTGCAATGACTGCACAGAGCTCACTAAATCACAGCGTAAAGAAGGCAAAGGTTTTCCCTCATTTCTTATTAAATATTATATGAGTTTGCATTGTTAAACTCAATTTTAAAAAATCTATTCAAATGTACCCTCTCAGTGAAACTGTAGTGATTAGTTAGCCATTGCATGATGATAATGCATTTTAAATTCTACACTCATAGTGAAAAATGGTTCTATATAGTACCAAAAAAGGGTCTTTAACCATTTAACCATGCAAAGAACCATGTATTGAAAGTTAAGAAGGATTTTAACATTTTAACATTGAAAGTTAACTTTTTCGGAGAAGTTTTGTTCTGACAGTTACAACATAAAACCATTTTAAAGATCATAGAAGTAATATTTAAAATTTAGTAATTTAGTAATATTTAAAAGACTGCATGGTTTGCTGTTGTTGAGTTAAGTCTATTTTAATTGGTTGACATTTTAACATTCTCAGTTACTCCATTATCACTTAAATTATTTGTCAGACTTCATTACTAATGTAATTGATAGTGAAAGCCCTCAGTTATTAAAAAGACTTTATTAAATTGTTCTTTTTCAGCTGAGCGGTATGAACCCTGCAGTAACCCTGGTGCTCCCTCCACTGCCATCCAGAGCTCCGAGAAAGCCTTTTTCCAGGCCGGGGATACGCTGACCTTCACCTGCCGACCTGGCTATCAGCTCCAGGGGGAGACCACCATCCGCTGCATCCCAGGACATCCCTCTCAGTGGAGTGGGATGCCCCCTGCATGCAGGGGTAGGAACAGTGTTCTTGAAATACACTTACTGTCCACTTTGTTAGAAACACTGACCTTGTACTTCTACTCACTGGCTACTTTATTAGAAACACCAACCTTATACTTCTACTCACTGACCAATTTATTAGAAACACCTACCATCTACGTTCACCCACTGACCACTTTATTAGAAACACCAATCTTGCGCTTCCACTCACTGGCCACTTTATTAGAAACAATGACCTTGTACTTCTACTCACTGACCAATTTATTGGAAACACCTACCTTCTACATTCACCCACTGACCAATTTATTAGAAACACTGACCTTGTACTTCCACTCACTGGCCACTTTATTAGAAACAATGACCTTGTACTTCTACTCACTGGCCACTTTATTAGAAACATTGACCTTGCACTTCTACTCACTGGCCACTTTATTAGAAACACCAACCTTCTACTTCCTCTCACTGGCCACTTTATTAGAAACACTGTCCTACGTCCTCTCACTGGCCACTTCATTAGAAACACCTACCTTTTGCTTCCACTCACTGGCCACTTGAGTGGCAGTGAGGAGACTGAACCACCACTCAAAAACATCCAGCCAAGAGTGGTTCCAAGGTCAGAAACTGACCACTGATGAAGGGCTAACACAAACTGTCAGCACATCAACAGATGGACTACCGTCTCTAACTGGACACCAGAAAGGTGGAGCTACAAGGTAGGCGTTCGGCCAGTGAGGGAAGGTTGAGATCAGGTCCAGAAGTGACTGTTAACATGTTTGTACGAAAGAGAAAATGACCATTATTATGACAAACAGTGAGCTGAAGCTCCATAGAGGAAGCAGTTCATGCTAATAAGCTTGAGGGAAGAGCACGTTTTACTGAAGTTTTCACTGCTGTTTTTTATCCAGCTATCTTGCCTCTTAAATTTTTAATTGAAGTCATTAGTTAAATCGAAAGCTGATTCAACTGATGTTTCCTGCTTAAAGCTGTTGCAAATTGAATAGCGCCGTTTAGACTACGGTGCTGCTTAGAGGCCGTTTGGGGGAAATGAGAACACTTAATCAAAAGGCCTCCCTTAATAGTCTCCATTATTTTAAGTGCCGTAAGTCCTGTCAGCATTCTAAATCACTTTTACGCAATTTTTACCTAGTAATTCATTTTTTGTACTTTTTTTCCTTCTGGTGTTTCAATTATGCTTCTGAAAATTGCCTTTTCTCCTTTGTAGCCACCGGGGGAGATGCTAATGAGCACAGATTGGACGGTAAGGTTATCTCTCACATTGGGAGGCTTAATCAAATTATTCTGGCTTTTTTTATGGCAGGTGGCTTTTCAGCTAGTTTTAGAGGTTTCAATTATTATAGCTCCTGTTGCTGCATCATATAGTGCTGTTAAAGGCCATGATTCTAATTTATAGCATGTTATCTTTGAGCAAGTGTATTACAAGATTAGATGGAATGTCAAACCATTTTTCAGGAAACTGCATTAAAGAAACAGCCCAGCATTTTTCAACCTAATCTTCATGCGCCGCATCTTTGATTTCCCCCGTACTTGAGTCGAAACGCTTAAAATGGAAGCTATTATAAATAAACGCTGTACATGTACTGTACAGTACTGTGCAAAAGCCAGAGACCACTCTTCATATATTTCATCTCCAGCCAAGACATGAAGCTGTTGCTCATTTTGTGGTGTCTTTAGCAGAAAATTACACAGAAGCCTCAACAGCTACATAAAATATCAGAGGTTTCAGTGTTTACTGTGTCCACTCTTTACCTTTATTACAACTTCCATTCTTTTCAGGAGACTCACTTTCAGTTTCTCAAAGAAATCTGCAGGGATATTTGAACACACTTCCAAAGTTCAGTCTTAGAAGTTGGTTGCACTTTTTGCTTCTCAAGATCCAAACACATTTAGTGATGTTGAGGATCTGGACTCTGGGGTGGTCAGTCCATTATTCTGAGAGCACCAGCAAGAGTGGAGCTTGATTTTCTCCTCTCTCTCAAAGATGAAGTGCGGTTTATCTGATGGGGACAGTTTTGGTGTCTAACAGGTCTTTCAGGTGGTTGTTAAGAGACCAATTTTCTCTCTAGCTTTTAATCATTTCTGAACTCCAGGTTTGGAAACTCCTGTTTTTTTTTGTTTTTTTTTCAACTTATTTTTCTTTGACTTTCTCCTTCTTTATGGTAATAGATTGTCTTATATCTAATCTCCTCAGAAATGTCCTAAAAAACGAATAACTTGTACACAAAGCCTGTTTTAACTGGAAATTAAACAAATAAGGGGTCTCTGACTTTTACACAGGACTGTATATAAGTTTAAAACTACAACTGTGCATTAAAAACTACAACTGTTTATCCAACATTTGAACACTGGAGAACACAGTTCTGTTCACTTTCTCTAAGGGTTTTTGGTATCCATGGCATTCAGTTCAGTCAGAGCCTGTAAAAAGCACAAATCCGTATTATACCACTGATGAATTTTCACTTTGCGATAACTTGTTCTACAACATATATCTCGCATAAACATTTACTGTGTTCAGCAGCTGCCCATTGGCTTCTATTATGAGTGATTTTCAAGTTGACCCAGTTCCTGTTCTTTTCTAAGGGCGTTAATCGACCACACATTTCAGATATGGCAGATGGAGCTTAGGTTGAAATTCAGTGGCGTGTTTCTTTAATATGTGTCCGGATCAGTGGAGACCTGTCACTACAGCCTGTATCAACACATTACAGAAACTCATAACACTACAGAATTTCTGTGCTAGTTTTCTATGCCTGCTTTTGTTTTTGTTTTTTTTTCATCTAGTTGTCAGCTCTGACCTCGGTGCAGAGGGCACCAAAACTGCTATTGCAGTCATGGTTCCTGTGGCAGCGGTGTTACTGGTCATACTGGGCATTTACCTCTACTTCTCAAAGTAAGTAGCCCCAGTGGTTCCCTCAGCAACTGTTGTCACTGTGCAATAGAGTTGTAAGTGAGACCATAAACTAGCGGTCCCATCTCGGTCTTGACCTCATTTGGACTTGGTCTTGTCTCGGTCTCGGGGTAAGGTGGACCCTGAAATTGTTGTCTAGAACAGCCGAGTGCGATGCCTCCATCTGAGGTAACTGGAAGCTGAATTATCATTGAATATCAACAAAACCAGAATAAACAGAATAAAACAGTCCTTTCGCTGCTTCTGGGGTTCACAAACTTTTGCAACTCACAACCCACATAAACAACCACAAAAGCTTAATTAAAAAATCTTAATCTGGTCTCAGTCTTGATTTAGACTCAGATCTAACGGTCTTGATTACAACACTGCATCAGTTTTCTCAATAAAATAAAACCAAATTTGTTGTAGATTAATGTATATATGGACTATAATCAGTGAACTTGTAGAGAGGAGAATCACACTCTGTAATGTCTTCCAGGTTTCTCAAACGCTAGAGGGCGCTCCCGAGCGAGTCCAAAATGAATGGGTTATTATGGAGCATTTGAGCAAAACCATAGTTTATAAATGCTTAAACATTTTTAATGTAAAAGAATAAATTCATTTTCTAAACACAGAACAGAATAAAACATTTTAACGCCATTCTTATATTTTTAAGAGCTTTTAAACTCGAGTTATAGGAGTTTAAAACAGCGCCTCATGTACATTCATGACATCAGTGAGCGAGAACAGCCAATGAGCTGCTCCACCGACAACCAATCAGCACTCAGTAGCAGTAATGCTACCATTGTATTGCTCAAAACCCGCTGCTGTAGAAAAAAGGAAACATACAGGTGAATTTTCTTTGCTTTTTTAGTGAAATACATCATTCTACTTTCTAAAATTAGAGAAAAGTTCTAGACAAGTGATTAGAAACTATTTTAACTTATTGTTTTTAGCCGTCCATTCACTCCCATTCATTGAGGACTCGCTCGCGGGCGCCCTCTGCTGTTTTGCCATCCTGTTATGATATAAGGGGGAAATAAGAAGTGGCCAGACTCCTCATAAACTGGCTCTGCTATAATGTGCTACTCCTGTTCAAGTTCACAGACTTCCAATAATTATCAGGAAGCTTCTGCACATTTTAATGCAGAATTACTGTTTATTTCCTGAATTTAACACATTGGAAAAAAGTGAAAAATAAAACATGCTTATGCAAAAGTTATGGAACATTTTTAAAATATATTTATTATATTATATTTTTTTCCCAATATGTTAAACGTAGCAAATAAATACATACTGCGCACTAAATTTGGCAAAAATAGATGCTGTGTTAAAGTTTTTAAGATGATGTGTTACTATGTTCACTTAGAAAATCAACAAAACATGTAATTAGACCAGGAGTGTTCAAACGTCTACATATGATTGTATATCAAAACTCATACAATGTAGATTTAAATATTATAAACCAGACAGCAAAGACATTTTTAGACCTTTTATTCAATATTTCAATTATTTTAGGAAATAAACAATGCTGTATTGAGTATTATACTGACTATTTTGACCATTAATGGAGTAATCTGAGATTTAGTCGACTTTAGTAATCTGTATCAGGCAATGTGAGAGTGGACTTCACCTCTGTTTTTCCATGTAGAGTCCAAGGGAAGACCCTTCACCTGCCCAGCTCATCTTTACCTCCTTACGACAATATGACAGAGGAGTCCGCGTTCGACAACCCCATCTACGAGACTGGAGTAAGTATGGATGCCCTGAACCTCAGAGACGTGGACTCCCAGAACACCGTTGTCCTTTCCTGACCATTTTTCACCTCCAGCTCCTCTTCCCTCACCTGCCATACCATCGCATGACCAGCAGAGGGCACTCCATATCACTTCCATTCCTATCCAAGGTTTCTCACTCTCACTTCCAGTAAATCCAGCATTGATTAAGATGCTCCAGTCTCACACGCAGACTGAAGCCCTTCCCTGTGCAGTCTGAACTGAAGACTGATTGGTTTGTGGAAGATACAGCTGTCACTTTTTGATGCTTGAACAAGGCACCCAGTTCACTCGGTTTAGCTGAACCTCTTGCAGGAATAGTTTCCAGTGGGATCTTGCAGTATTCTTAGTTTGAAGGCCAGAGCTTGGAAACATTCCTTATTGTGGTGATTCTTAAATGGCTCCTTAAGCCCAAAGTCCTCTTTCAAGTTTGAACTTCAAAGACGTCAACAACAGGGAGACGTTATAATGAAGAGAAGAGTTTGAAAGTGAAATTATGTTCTCAGTCATACTCATTTTTACATAATTAGCTAATCTACAACAGCTCGATCCAGAATTCACGCATAATGCAGCTCAATGACAAAATAAATGAATAAACAAATCTATTTTAAGTCACATCTGAATGTCTTCATCATGTTATGGTGCACTGCTGAGTCTGTGAAAGGCACATAGAGGACTCTGGGAAAATGAGAATTGGGACGTCCTGTGGCCTTGTGGTCCTCACTGGCGGGCACACATGAGAACCGCAAGGCCACGAGTGCAACAGAGCTGTTATCTAGTGAATGTGGATCCAAGTCTGTTAGGATTTATATTTCATCCAAATCAACATCATTCAGTGTTGTGTATTCCTTCCATGTAGATGTCCTGATCCTGTTGAAGCATTTAAAGGGTCCATATCATAAAAAGCTAATTTTTCCTTGCTTTGTAAACATTGTTGAAGTTTCGAGGTATATCTTTGCTCATAGAAAAACAGCTCGTTTAAAATGATTTCACAAAAACAGACACATTTACATATATCCTAGAGCAGTTTAGCTACCCCCATTCACATTGAAGGTATAAGAAGTGTTTCATTATTTTTTAAGGAGGCACAATCAGAACAGGCCAATCAGAACAGAGCTCATTTACACACATCAGTCTTAAAGGCACAGTAATGCAAAAAAACTGTTTAATTTGAATAGAAAAAGTTGGAAATTGGTCCCGTAAAAATGTGGACCCATAAAAAATGAAATGCAAGAAAAATGTAGGATGGGCCCTTTAAAAGAGGATCAGTGGGAGGTGAAATTATTGTGTGTGTTAATATATTTTCATTGTATTTCCATCAGTCACTGTCTTTAAAGAAACTGAGAAGCTGGAGGTCACATAGAAAAAAAAACATGCGTGACTATTGATTTTACTTCATTACACTTCATGGAAAGATCATTAAAGAAAATCTATTGATTTCCAACTATATGTTACGGTAACCTCTGTATTATTATTATACAGATGTACATATTTGGTAAGGGGCTGTCACTTTTGACTATATTAGTTATTAAATAATCTGATGATTAATTTAATGCTTAATCAGAGTAATCAGTTTTAAAAAAGTAGAACAAAAATAGACTTAAACCCCCAAGGAATCTAAATCTGAGTTAGGTTAATCTCTCTTTTGTGGGCTCACAAAATACAAACTATGTCTTGTGGATAACTGTCTGTAGTCCATTTAATGGCTGATGTATTTTGCCAAAATAGAGAGAATTCTGCTCTCTGTTTGAACTGGATGAACTTACAGAGAGAAAACGAACAACCTAGCAAGAATAACTGAGATAGCAAAAATGAATTCATTCATTCGCTCAGCCAGCCAAGCCAGCATTCCCTGGATGCACGTCCAGCAGTAAAGTGAAGAAGAACCTGACCTCCTTCAGGACATCACCATATAAAAGCTGGACAGTGATTTACACAGAGTGGACACAGCACAGATAATCTACAACACAACACAACAGTGATTAGTTCTGCTTCAGTGGTGTTAGTAGGCTGGGAGTAAAGTTGGATGGAGGGTTGTCAATCACGCTCACTTATTAGAATACTAGGCCACACACAGAAAGTTTTCAAGTCTCATAAGCGATTTTAAAAATATTATTTCTTTTTTTTTCATTCAAACTGACAGAGGTTTAATATAACATTCCGCTGTAATATCATGCAAGCTTTTTTTTTATGTTTTTGTTCCTGGGGTTTTAAATGAACATTAAGAAACCACACAGATCCTTTCGAAGATTCAAAAATACTTCAGATAAACTAGAAACCTTTCAAATCTTTAAAAATGATGTGGCAAAAATGAAATGCATATAACTGGGTGCATCCATCAGATCCATCATTTCTTATTGTAAGCAAGACCAGTTGGAGAGCTTAAAATATGCTCTATAAGTATTCATTTTAAAGGGGAAGTCCACCAAATTTTCAAAATTCCTTCATAATTCTATTGTTTAGACATAAATACCATCATTCAGAGTGGTTTGATAAGAAATGGTTCCATATAGAGAAACTTACCGGCTCTGATTTCTTTACAGTTGTGGTGATAGGAACCAGGGGTTGGGATGTCTGCAACACAAATGTAGCCATTTAACATATTATACAAAACCACCAGTGAGTCTACACGTGTCTTCTGAGGTTTTATATGTAATGTTGGTGATGGTAATCGTAATAGTACTAAATCTCTCCACCATGAATACATTTGAGAAAAAATATGTTTCAAAACTGACATAGACAATCAGTCTCAAACATCAGACAGCATTTTATGTCTTTCTGTAATCAGGGCTTTTTGAGGCATTAAACTACTGACGTCTGGTCCCTATCACCACCACTGTGAACAATTCCGGCTCAGTAGGTTTCTTTAGAACAGCACATTTCACATGAAACCACTCTGAATTACTTTGTTTACATCTCAATGACTAAATTATGCAGAAATATAAAAAAAAATCAGTGAAATTCCCCTTTGATATCAAATTGTCAAAGAAAAAGAAGGACTTGTGTAGAGCTGAATGCATAGCTTTTGTCCCACTCTAAATGCATGTCTATGGATCATGAACTATGAGAACTATGAGTTCTCATGACGTTTCAATCTCTCTGCCTCTACGTGCTCCTGTCATGGACCCCGCTGGCTGGACCCTCCACCCCCTCTCCCATACCCACTCCTCCATCAGCCGCGGCTGGCCTGCCGTGATAACTAACAGGCTCTGTGTCTGTGTCCCTGTGTGGCTGCACCATCAGAAGAGCGATGAGGTGAGGTGTCCTGATGGAGGTGCATGACAACACCAAGGCATGATATCCCTGTCTGATCACCACCAGCCACCATGTGATGTCCTTCACGGTCACTGCTGTCAAACCTGTGCTTTGCCTTGCAAAATGTGCAGTAATGCTGAGACACAAACAGACTGGCCATCAAATGTCTGGGGATATTTTTCAAAGATTTTAAAAAACTACAGTAGGGATGATATCGGATATCAGCCTGATACCATGCTTATTTACTAATACTGATAAAAACGCACCAATAGCAACATCCGATTACCCCCCGACACCATGTGACATAAGCCTGGTGCAAACTGCTGCACTAATGAACTCAAGCTGACAGTCTGCTTGCATTGAGGAAGTGTTACCGACGCTGTGACACAAAGTCGCTGGTCACTTCAAACATTCTGCTGTGGCATATTCCTGCCAGGAATTCACTGTGTGATTGTGGCCCATTTTTAAACACACACAATCACAACCACTTCCCCAATACGGGTGGAGGCATGTAGGCTAGCAAAACGGAGGCAAAACGGTCAACATTTACCACCAAAGTCCGCATATCCGTCCATATAAGCGTTAATATGTTGATTTTTCAAAATGGTCAGTGTAAAATTGGCTGTAGAGACACTGTATTGTCCTAGTATGTACATCACCGCCTTTTAGTTTCAGTGTAGGGTTGTAAAGTTAGCAAAGCTGCTGTAGCTCAGTTTCTCAGTGTGTTTGCTCAGTACTCCTGCATGCATTTTGAATGAAACAGCTTTATTGATAATTATTTGTAGACAGAGTTTTGTAGGGGCTGCGTTTCACGTAGCAGGTCAATCAGATCGAGCGTTTTCGTACAGTGTGAGTATATAGATCGTAGGCTTTGGTTGTACATGGTGGTCTATTCAAATACACAGTGTGAATCACCAGAGAACAAGATTTCTAAAATTGTACTTTAGAGGACTTTCAACTAGAGCTCAACCAGCCAACCATCCAAAAAGACACCTATAACACAAATAGTGAGCTCTTCGGACGTAATAGCCTCAGATGTGATTCCTCCTATTGCTGTTGTTGAAAGACAGAGGGGAAAGAGAGGATCAAAACTATGAAACATCCTTTACGTACAGCTGTACAGAAGTGCTTTTCTGATGTGGAACAAAACCCGCTCTTCTCCACTGCTGCTCCATCTAAGGGAACTAATGTAATGCAGCTAGCTAAAGCACTTCATTTAAAATCAGCTAGATTTTAATGATTAGTGTGTTAATGTACATTGCACTCATTTACACTAACTGTTTAACTCTAACTAGGTTACTCAGTATTGGAAAGTACTATAAAACATGTGCTCATACTTGGTGTGAAGAAAACTGTATTGGTGTGTCCCTAAACTGCATAAATTTCACATGTTAAATAGAAACCTTTTTTGATCTTGCTGCTTTTCTTGGCAAAAACTGCAAAAGGGAGGGAACAATTGACTCAATATACCCAAAGTTTTAGCACATACCTGTTTTCTTACTTAGTTAAAGTGTCCGTATCATCGAAAACTGAATTTTCCTCACTTTTTGTAAAGAAAAGTATGTAAACACTGTTAAAGTTTCAAAATGTACCATCCCATGCAGTCCATACAATCCATATATGAAAACTAAGCTGCAAAAGCAGCCTGTTTTGAATTCATGAGACACAATACACAACAGCCAATCAGAACAGAAGGCATTTACATATCTCAGCCTTAAAGACACATTATCAATAAACAGTCTGTTTAATTCTAAGGAATAAAGGGTTGGTCTTGTAAAATTATTTATGACTGTTTTTGGTTCATATAACAATGCACATGTCATAAATGGGCCTCAGGAAAAAATAAAATACAAGACAAATGTAGGATTTTGGCCCTTTAACAGGGAAAATGTCACACAAAGGTTTGTCCCCAAACTTTTGGTGGGTAGTTTGTTTGTACACTGGAAAAAACAATGCACATATCAATGAATAATCATTCTGTTTACTGTTCTCATCATGGAATGATTTGGAGGAAATTAAAGGGCAGTTCCACCAATTTTTCAAAAGTTCCTCTTAATGCCGTCATAAAGATGTAAACTAGGTCATTCAGAGTGGTTTGATGAGAAATTCTTTGTTCTAGATAAACTTGCCAAGTCAGAATTGTTCACAGTGGTGATGATAGGAACCAAACGTCCACCTTTAAAAGCTCCCTCACAAATAGATATCAGATGAAATGGTTATGAATGCACTGCCTGGTGTCTGAGACATTGTTTTATAATAGCCTTACAAAATTTTGGATATATTCAGTGCATTGTCAGCCAAAATAGTCCCCAAAGAAAATTTATTTTTCAGACTTACTACTATTTTACCATCATCAACACCACATATAAAAACTCAGAAGACACATGTAGGTTGACTGGTGGTTTTGGATAGTAAGTAAAATGGCTGTATTTGCGTATCACCACCACTGTAAAGGAGTCAAAGTCTGTAAGTTTCTTTACAATGAACCATTTCACATCAAGACACTCTGAATGACATTGATTATGACTGAATTATGCAGACATTTTGCAAAATTGGTGGAATTCCCCTTTAATTCCTCTGTTACGATGTCCATATTTGCTTTTTTAAATGACATATCATTTGAAATGAATTTGCCTCAGATTTGTTTTCACTTATTGTCTTCAACATGTGCGGACTGAGTGGAACTTTTGGTGAAGAAGGGTCTTTCTTGTTTTCACTCATCATATGCTGCCAGTCATGCGCTTGTGTTTATTTGCAGTCAACTGTGTCTGAGTAATCCATTCTTAATGGATTAGTATTATACATTAATTCATTACATGTGAGTTTTGCTTTTTCCAAATAGGTGTTAAAAACACTGTGTTCCCTCTGTTTTACGTTTTACAGGTTTCTACTGTGCAAAAGTTTGTTTTCAGCTAACTGAAAGATGTATTTCTAACATATTTTGTAAAACCGTCTCTGCATGCATTTAACCTGTGACTACTAAAGAAAAGCATCCAATATACAGGACTGTGCAAACATCAAAGACTACGCTTCATTTATTAAATTTCCACTGTCCTCAAAAAGTTTCTCATTTTTCAGCTTCAGGAAAAAAGCAGAAAAAATATTAAACAGAAAATTACGCAGAAACCTTAACAACCAAACATAACACGAAAGTTTTCGGTACTGATTGTGTCACTCTTTACCTTTATTACAGCTTCCATCCTTTCAGGAGACTCACTTGCAGGTTTTTCAAAGAAATCTGCAGACACACCTCCAAAGTTCAGTCTTAAAAGTGGGTTTAGCATTTTCTGAAGTAATCCAAACACGTTCAGTAAAGTATAGGCAGAAACCCCTGTGGAGTTTTTCTCCTCTCTGTCAAAGATGAAAATTTTAAGTGCTGTTTATCTGCCGGGGACAGTTTTGGTGTCTACCAGGTCTTCCAGGTGGTTGTTAGGAGCTTCATTTTAATATATATTTTTTAACTCCAGTTTTAAGAACTGTTTTATCACTTTTTTTTACTTTTCTCTTCTTCATGCAAGTGGATTACCTAATATCTAATCTCCACAAACAAAATGACTTGTATACTTGTATTTATAATGGCTGTTTTGAATGGAAATTAAATAAATGAAGGGTACATTATATGTCCAAAAGTATCCAGACACCCCCTTTTAATGAGTGAGTTCAGCTACTTTAAGCTTCATTCATTGCCGACTCAGGCTGGGCACACAGAATGGGACACTCTGGACAAGCTGCACATGAGCCTAAGGTCATCATGTCAAATGCCTTGTGTCAGCTAGAGGGATATAAAGCCCTACAGCACTGGGCTGTGGATCAGTGGAACTGCGCTCTCTGGAGTGATGGAGCTCCATCCAGTACCTTTGGGATGAGCTGGAGACCCAGAGCTGATCACCCAACCTCACTAATGCTCTTGTGGCTGAATACAATTAAATCCTCACAGCAATGTTCCAACATCTAGTGTAAAATCTTCTGACAGAAACTCCCTATTAATACCCTTGCTTTCAGATAAAAGGTTAGAAAATCTGGTGTCTACAAACTTTTGGCTTATAATGTAGATTCACTGAGCCCACATTAGTTACCTGCATTGCTGATCATATCAGTGTCGCACCAAAAAGTCCTTGATGAACATGTTTATCGTTGCAGGAGACGAGACAATATGAGGTGTCTATTTAGAGACTGTTGAGCAGTGGCTGTCCATGTTCTACACTTCTCCTCCTCTGTGACAGCTCCTCCTCTGTTCCTCTCCTCCTTCCCACACTTCTCCATTCCCTCCTTCCGCTGAGCTCTTGTACAGTATATTTTTTCTCCAGAGGACCTCTGCCAACACTGTAAAAGATGGGGGACAATATGATGTTATTTTTGTAGCGCTTCAGCAACGATGACCCAACTTTCTTTTTTCTTCTTCTTCTTCTTCTTCTTCTTTTTGTTTTTGTTTTTTTTTGTTCACTGAGCACAAAGTTTGAGTGTACAAAATAAAGAGGGACAATATCAGAGTGTTTTTCAGTGTCTATATAATGAGATGGGACATGCTTCAGACTTGAGAACGAACAAGAGTCCAGCGTTATCCAACTATGCCGTGGTGACACTCAGAGACCAGTGTGTTAATGCTATCATTACTCAGTCTATTAACGGCATTGGCACCAGTGAATGTCTGCATGGGGTTTTCTTTCCTAAACACTTTGTAAATAAACTATTCGACTATTCGAAACCAATATGCTTTGTGTCCTCTTTGGTGATTATCTGTACAGTAATATTAAATGACTGCACCAGTATATACTGCATACTGCACCAGTATATAATGTATACTGCACACTGTATCAGTATATACTGCATACTGCACCAGTATATAATGTATACTGCATACTGCACCAGTACATATGGCATACTGCACCAGTATATAATGTATACTGCACACTGTATCAGTATATACTGCATACTGCACCAGTTTATAATGTATACTGCACACTGTATCAGTATATACTGCATAGTGTAGTAGGATATACTGTATACTGTATACCTTACTAGTATATACTGTAAACTGCATACTGCACTAGTATATACTGTATACTGCAAACCATAGCAGAATATACAGTACACTGCAGTCTACAAGTATATAATGTATACTGCATAATCTACAAGTATATACTGTATGCTGCATACAGTAGCAGAATATACTGTACACTGCATAGTCTATATGTAGATACTGTACACTGCATAATCTACAAGTATATACTGTATACTGCATAGTCTACAAATATATACTGTATACTGCATACCATACCAGTACATACTGTACACTGCAGTCTACAAGTATATACTATATACTGCATAGTCTACAAGTATATACTGTATACTGCATAGTCTACAAGTATATACTGTATACTATAGCAGAATGTACCGTATATATGTAGCAGAATTTACCATACCAGTATATAACGTATACTGTGTACTGCACCAGTATATACTGTATAAGGCATACTCCACTAGTATAAATTGCATACTGCATACTCTACAAGTATATACTGTACACTACAACCCGTAGCTGAATATACTGCATAATCTATATGTATATACTGTATACTGCAGCAGAATATACTGTACACTGCATAATCTACAAGTAAATATTGTACACTGCTCATTAGCTTATCGACTGGGTAAAGTGGTTTGCACTGTCTAACATCATGAATGTACGATACTGGTTGCGCTCCACTATCTGCCTGGCATGTGCCAGATGTGCCGTGTGGGCATGGTTTCCATTTCATTTATATGCATCACAAGACCCCGCATACGCTGCTTTCACCACCTGAAAACTTTGGGTCAATCTGCAAAGTTGCGTCTAGTCAGAACAAATGCCATGTGGAAATATCATGGCAAACCCTGAGACCTTCTGAATCGACAAGGGAAATTTGTCCGGAATAAGGACAGCTACAACTGATTCTAGTGACATTGTGTATTTCAGTTATATGTGCTACTCGACAATTTATGTAAGAGCCAGCATAAGTACCGCCAAGCTTTTACTCTCTTGCTGCTAAGTAAAAAGCGGCAAGCCAGCACAGGTAAACGGAGCACACACAGTGAAGTCCTATGACTGCACTCTCAGAAAAAAGGTACTAAACTGACACTCTTGTCTCTGGGGTGGTAACCTCAAGGGTTCATCTCAATACCTTTAGTCAGGGAACATAATTGTACCATAATCCACTAAAATTTTATTTTCTAAGTTGTATTGACTCCACACACCCCGTCTCGTCTCCAGGCTTTTATTTTATTGTTCTGTTTTAAAACATTAGGTCATGGAAAAATAGAAATACATATGATTCCACTTATTTAAGGTACACAACTGGACCTTAAAACCACTGTTGTACCGTTGAGGGCAGACTTACATTGTTTGTACCTTGATGAACGAAAAGTGTACCTCCACAGAACCTTTATTACTAACAGTGTCGGACTGAAAAAAAGCTTCAAAAATATGACAGATATTTTATGCTGCTCTGTAAAAAAAACAGTGACTTTGTCTGTATAAGCAGGATCATCTAAAGGTTACAATTTTTCAAAAAAGCTCCTTAGGCCTTTCTTTTTGGGCTCTTTTGCGCCCTCTAGTGCCTGACCAACTGAGAAGAAATTACTCTGAAATTCTCTGGTTACATCCTCCTGAACTTACCCTGCTACATCACAGGATGCAGTAGTTCATGAAGAGAGCTCTGGCTGCATACATCATCTTTGGCGTACTGGAGAAACTGCACAGTACATTTTTGGGTACAATCAGTATGCAAGCAGTAGGTAGCAGGACCCAGATGTCAAATGAAGCCTGTCAACTTTAAGAACATAGTTCTCTAAATGTACTCAGAGGGGAGAGAGGGGGTGGTTTCAGGGCAAAAACATTGATAATAAGATATGTGTTTAATATGGGCAGCTCCTTAAACCCTTTTCACAGCCATAAAATGCAATTTCAACCTGTTTCAACCTCAGTTAAACTACACATGGAATATATTTAGATGGGAATGTCTATGATTTACAAAAGTGGAAGCATTCTGGATTTTCATTCAAGTGAGCATGCAAGTCAATGTTTATTAAAGTGTTGTTTAAATGCTATTGCAATTGTACAAGATTTGTTTGACCCCTCCCCTTTTGTCCCTCATTGCTCACTAGCAGCCCAACACAGAGTCACAACTTTCTGTAAGGGAGCTTTTAGAGGCATTAAGGACTTCAGATGTCTGGTTCCCTTCACCACTACTGTGAACAATTCTTACTCAGTAAACTTCTCTAAAGATGAACATTTCTATGGAGCTCCGAAGGGGTGATGATTTTTAATAAGGCGTGGCCACAAATTAATATATTGAGGCCAAGATTTACTATATTAAGGCCATAAATTACTAAATTATTTTGGGGCCACAAATTAATATCTTGAGGCCACAAGTTAAGCTTCTCATAACTTGTGGCTTCAGTACAGTAATTTGTGTAGTCAGCACAGCTGCAAAATACAGTAATTGGCGGCCTTAATATTGTACATTGTGACATCCATATAGTAATTTGTGTACTCAACATAGCAAGTCGTCACCTCAATATAGGAATTTGTGGCCTCGATATACTAATGTGTGGCCACAATATAGTAATTTGTATATTCAACATAGTAATTTGTGGCCTCAATATAGTAATTTGTGTACTCAATAACATTTAGTGGCCTCAATATAGTAATGTGTGGCTACAATATAGTAATTTGTGTACTCAAAACAGACATTTGTGGCCTCAATATAGGAATTTGTGGGTGCAAAATACAGTAATTTGTGTACTCAATATAGCAATTTGTGGCCTCAATGTAGTTATTCGTGGCCTCAATACAATAATTTGTGGCCATGCATTTTTTAAAAATAATCACCCTAGGGGTCTGTGCATTTCACACTATGGGGCAAAAAAAATGGACTGGCACATCCTGATTGTGCAGCCTGAGAAAATACCACTTTACTCGCGATATTTCCTTTTTATACTCAAGTGTGGTCGGACATCCGCAATAAATCTCTCACAGGTTCCGAAACGACAAAAAAACCGATGGTTCATTTACTCAACACAGTGTCCGCAATGCCCCGTACAGGCGACAGAGAGAGCTGCAGAATAACGGTAGGTTGGTCACGGTAACGGCGCTCTAACGCACTAAAGCACAAACTCCCTACCAAACTACAACGAGGAATGAAGCAGTGGTGAGTGGCGCTGCACCAGGCTTTAGACAAACCTCTTTATACTGAAAAACATTGCTGTGTTTCATGTTTTAAACCCGGTGATCAGCGATGCTGCCGCGGAGTCAGACGGGCTCAGAAAATGCCTCCGAAACACAACGAGCAGCACAGCTCCTCCAAGATGGCTCCGAGGCGGCCGGCATGGCGCATGCGCAGAAAGGCGGATCCACGCAAGTTTTGCGCCAAACCGAGAGGAGCGGAGATGGGGAGGTCGATTCAGTTCGAGGAACCGATTCATTCGAACTTTCCGATTCAATGAACCGAACGTCAACGATTCATTTCTCTTTTCGCTACTACACAGAGCGCACCTGTACAAAAACACGCACAGAACTTCACATATAAAAACAACGTATTTACAAATAGTACACATGGAGAACATAACATGCAGGATGATGTACGCAAAGGATACGTGCAATGTAATAACAGAAAGTTATTACATGAAATTGTTATAAATATGCTGCCTGATGTCTGAGGTACTGCTTTACAGTAGTTTTGTGATGAAGTGTTGGCTTAATATATATTTTAATCCATTTACTTTAATCCACTCTTGGCGGAGGGGTACATGCAAGGCGTTGTGATGCAAAATAGTCCCCAAGGAAAACTTAATATTTTTCAGATTTACGACCATTGAACCATCATCGACATTACATATAAACACCCATAAGGCGCGTGTAGGTTCATTTGGATAGTAAATAAAATAAATAAAAGCAAGTAAATGTCTCTACAATGAACCATTCCGCATCAAACCGCTCTGAATGAATCGGTTTACACCTCAAGCAATGAATTATTCAGAAAGTTTGGTGGAATTCCCCTTTAACGTAAACATTGTCCAGACGCTACAAGTCCGATTCGGTTGATTGCGTTGAAAAAGAATCGGTTCAGAAGAACGATTCGTTCGCGATTCGGACGTCGCTGGTGTGTGGAGGATGTCGCCGTTGTCGTCGGGTTCGCTTTCGCACATGACAACAATGATCTCGGCCGTTATCTCCGCTGCTCTCGTCCTCCTGGCAGGCTCCGCTTAAAGCCTCTGTCTGTTTTCTTACCCCCGGCGGTGGCTGTTTGGTGTTCTCGCAGCGATGGAAGCGGCCAGTCCGGCGCCTTTATCCCGCATCTTTGCTGGCCGCGGTCAGAGGAGGAGGAGCGGGCAGCGCGCTGGCTAAAAGGCCTCAGTTAGGCCCGCGGCTGCAGGATTTCTTTCTCCAGAGCTGCTTCTTCTGCTGCTTGACACTGTTTTCTTCTCTTTGTCTACACCTGCTTGCTTGGAAATAACCATTTTGGAAAATCCGCGGCTGGTTTTGCTGCAGTGGGACTTAAAAAAAACTAACGTTAGCTGGGCTAAACGGTCCGCTAGCTAGCACAACATTGGCATTGAAGCGAGTGAGAAGAGACTTGTTTAAAAACAGACTGAATGAAGGATTGTTCACAGCTCGGATATGTTTCTTTGGATGTAACTTTGGATATAACGATTTGGACGTTGTTTTGTTTCGCGAAGGTTAACGGAGCAAAGCTTTGTGGTATTTTTTGACTGAGCTGGCTGGCTGGCTTGGCTTAGCTTAGCCTAGCCAAATCCGAGCGCTCACTAACCTAGACTTGTTTGAATGTGGGATAAAATGGAGACTCCGACAATCGTCTACGACCTGGACACCACCGGTGGCCTGATGGAGGTAAGCAAAGTCACCTTAAAACTGCAGAAAAACGAGTTTTTCCGTCTTCGTTTTGTCCAGTGCAACGATTGACCGGCTGCTGCAGATGCTAACCACAGTAGCTACGAGGCTGAAGTTGGCTTCCTATTCGAATTTTCCCGTTCCACCTTAAATAGGGCAGCAGTTACGTTCTGGCGCCTCGGTCGTCCGAACGTAACTGCTGCCCGTTTAAGGTGGAACGGGAAAATTCGAACAAGAAGCTGGCGAACTACGGCTTCGTAGTAGCTTAGCTTAGCCTTCACCCGCATAGCTTAGTCCCTTTGCCGTGCAAATATCACCTCTTAACTGTGTGATTTTTATTTTCTTGCATATTTTTAGAGCGACACCGACCCCGCGCACTAAACCGAGTGCCATTTGTTACGTAAAGCATGAATGTTATTGTCCAAGAAAGCTAATGTTATCATCCGTGCTAACCTGCTAGCTTGTGTTTCTGGGCCCAACAATGGCTGACACGTCTCGACTCAAATCCAAGGAGGGTGGACGCCATAATATGGTTTTATTTTTTTTATTTTTCCCCCAGCTAGCATGATGGTTCGCTCTCAGATATCAAAGTAGTCAGATGTTTCTGCTGCACAGCCCTCTTCGCGGTTCACGCAAATGCAGCAAACAGCTTTGTTTACGGCCGGAGCGCTTTTTTTAAAATCTAAACCAGCTTATGTAGGGCTGGTTTGCAAGCTTGCGCCTCTTGCAGGAGAGGTGGTGGGAATCCTGTGGCTAGGTGTGCACAAAGACCGCTATAAAAACGGAGCTCTTCTGCCTTCCAGCAAATACAGACTTTGCTCGCACCACCCAAGTCCGAAGATGCGGAGAAAAGAAGCCGAAAGCTGGACAGGAGCACCAGGAGATCGGGCCGGGCGACCAACCACGACACTTGCGACAGTTGCCGGGAAGGAGGGGATCTCCTCTGCTGTGATCACTGCCCTGCTGCCTTCCACTTGCAGTGCTGGTACGTACACTACATGTCCAAAAGTTTGTAGACACTTGATCATTCAGTGCATCGTCCAAAATCTAAGGGGACCTTTTTGCTGCAGTCACAGCTTCTACTTTTCTGCAGAGACTCTCCACTAGATTTTGAATGATGCCCAAAAGTTTGTGGGACCTGTCATCCAGCACTTCTACCGAGATCAAGGGACGTTTTAGCTGCAGTAGCACCGTCTATGTTTCTGGTTAGGCTTTACAATAGATGTTGGAACGTTGCTGTGAGGATTTGGTTGCATTCAGCCACCGGTGCATTAGTGAGGTCAGCTACTGATGTTGGATGATTAGTTTTGGATCCCAAAAGGTGTTGGATGGAGCTCCATCACTCCAGAGATTAGAGTTCCACTGATCCACAGCCCAGTGCTGGGGGGCTTCTTACCCTTCTAGCCAACTCTTGACCTTGGTGACCTAAGGCTTAAGCTTTTCTACTACGATTATACAAGCCGTGCACAGATGAACACCTGTGTCAGCAGTGGGTGCACTGTAAACCAGCTGGCTAGATCAGTTTGGACATAGTATAACTTTAAGTGTTCATTAATAGCTGACTTGCCATTCATATGGCAGCTATGTTTGAAACAGCTGCGTTTGAGCTGCTGCTCAACTGTTTATCGGTTGTCTTTGCTTGTTAACCACTTGGTCAAATGTTTGACCACGTGTAATCAGTGTGGGGTTTATTTGTTTTGAAGACAGAGGATCCTTATTTGGGTAACAGTGGTAAACATGTAAAATGTAAAGGAAGGAGCAAGCTGTTTTTTTTCAGAGCTAGTTAGATCTAAATGTTGGTGATTTTTTACCCCATTAACGCAGTTTTAACCCAACCCATGTCAGAAACAAGACGAATGACTTGTTGTAATGAGTAGGCTCTCTCATATTAGTAAATGCTGTGGATTTGTCTCTGTTTAAAGACCTATAGGCTCCGGACTAGGGTATCTAGACGGTATAAATGATCATTAACCATGCGCCCTGCGTGCCAGGCAGCCGAATGTTCTGGCTGTAGTGTGCATTATAGAAATACCAGTCTGAGAGTATAATAGGTGGACAAAGAGACGGGGCCTTCTGCCTGATTTGTGGTTTCTCTGCCATAATTAACTTATTAGAAATGCAGCCAGGCTCTCTTCAGAAAGCACCAAACAGACTTCCAAAGCAGTTTTTAGTCTTAGCGAAGAGGACGTCCATGTGCAGTTCGGATCCAGTTTGTTTCCGCAACTAATACGATGAGTCGTTTGCCAAAGGATTCTGTTTCATCTTTGCTGTATTTTTGTATTGTTTATCCTTGTTTGTGCCTTAAATGCAGCACGCAGAAAGCTTAAATGAAGCCATATGAGCTTCAGCATTGAACCTCTCCAGCATGCATTGTGCTCTAAGGCCCTTGGCCCATTGCCCAGATGGACTCAAAACCGCCTACGGTCTCACCTGCCTTTCATCAAGCTCGGCTCTTGGGCGTCCCCACATTCAAATATCCAGTGTAGATGGAACTGATGACCTTCAGAAAAAAGCTTCATGCTAATTTTGCATTTGAGCAGCTGTAGAATTAGTACTGATTTGAGAATCGAGGCTTTTTGTTTTAGAGGTGCTTTTCTGAGCGTATCGTGGATATTGTCAGTTCTTCAAGAACACGGACCAACGTGTTTCATTATAAAGAGGGCATAACATCAGTTCTGTTTAATTGGTTTTAGTGCAGCACGATATGTGAAACCTTCAATAAACATCATAGTTTTTGATAACATTTTAAAAAATGTTTTGTCAGTGCACTCGTGTCTGTTCCAGTTTATCAGACCTCTAAACAAAATATCTAAATACTGAAAACCTTTTTTTTTAATGCATATTACCTATCATGTAAATATCTTCAAGTATCGTGACATTATGTTGCCATATCGCCCACTCTTTGCGCCAAACACGTTAAAAACAGCGTTTAGAAAATGAGTGAGTCAACTACAGAAGAGATGGAAACCGCACATGAAGGGAAATTGGTTTCTGCACCTTTTCGTCTTAGGTTTCAAGCCAGTGTGCTGATCCCAAGTGGAAAGACAGCATAAAGATTAGGTTCAATCTGTAAGTGATAGTGGGGCCCCCTGATCCCTTCCCACTGATTGCTACATTCAGTGTCCTATACCACAAAAATGAAAGCTTTCGGGCTTAGATGAGTGTCGGAAACCTGTGTGGTTGGCATGCTGGATATGAGCTGAGGATTTGGAAACAGAGACCCCTTTCTTGGAGAGCACCCCTGGTCTTCCTGCATAAACAAAGCAGAGTATTTATTTACCCTGGGAAGGATGGGAAGTGAGATCATTTTTGTGTAAAAGCACTCCTTGCGAAAGCTGTGTGCTCATGTGCTGCCAGATCAAAGGTAAACATATGCGTCCAAACCCCAGTTGGTGAACTAAACTGGACCGTCTTCGTTTTATATGGCTTAGAGGGGTCACACTACTCCAAACTCGCCTTTTTTGATATTGAGTAACTAGTGTAGCCCTAAAAAGATTGTGTTTGACTTCTTTGAATCTTCAGTTTACTATTTGCAACAGAGCCTTTGGGGTTGGCAAAGAGCGTCAGTGCCCAGTTTATAATGCCTGGAGACTTTTCATCCTTATGTAGCAAATAACAAGAATCATTACGACAGCTGTGCATAATCCTCGTCTGTTTCGTCATTTGTGATGCTGAATAGGTTTAAGTGCACAGTGTGTAGATTTTTTTACCTCTTTGTTTTTCATTTTTCTCAGTAACCCACCACTTAGCAGGGAAATGCTGCCCCCTGGTGACTGGATGTGTCATCGCTGTACAGTTCGTAAAAAGGTGAGGCCTGAGGTTTTGAGCTTAAATGTGAATTCCTCTGTTTTTTTGGTTTTTTTTGTTTTTTTTTTGAAAACTTGTAATTTATTATTAACTGAAGTCATTCAGAGTGGTTTGATGTAAAATGCCCCATTCTAGAAAAACTCTGAGTCAGAGTTGTTTACAGTGGTGGTGATAGGAACAAGATGAGTTTAATGCTTCTAAAAGTTACAGCACAGAATGCTGTTACATGAAATTACAAATATGTTGCCTGAGATATTGTTTATCAGCGGTTTTGAGAAGGTTTTGGTGTAAAACATTTTAAATTCTTTCTTGGCTGAAAGGTACATGCAGGGTGTTGCAAGACTGTTGTTTCTTTTAAATGTACCACTATCAATATTATCAGCATTACATATAAAGACTTAGAAGAGACATGTAGATTCACTGGTAATTTTGGATCGTAAATAAAATGGCTATATTTGTGTTGTACATATCGTGACCCCTGGTTCTTGTCACCACCTTTAAAGAAATTTCTCTACAAAGAACCATTTCACATCATTTCAGCCTGAATGACTTTGTTTATATCTCAACGACTAAATTATGCAGAAATTTTGAAATATCAGTGGAATTCCCCTTTAAAACCCATTTAAAAAGAAAGAAAACTTAACTTACGTAATCAACTCTTACTAAAAAAATGTTCTATTAATCCTTGGCAGAAACGAGAGCAAAAGAAAGAACAAATCAACGGTCTCATGCTGGCTAAGCAGACCCCATCCCCAGCAGCTGAGCTGGACTTGGGGACTCTCCGTCTCGACCCTACTGTGGCTGTGGGCGGCACAGGGCTGCGGGCAGCAGTGGCCCAGGTCCGACTCCTGGAGAGGAGGCCCAGCAGCCGACCGGCCACCCCCACCTCCAACGCTTCTTCAACAGACACCCCAACGCTCTCTGAGCAGAACGACATGGAGGAGGACATGCTGGACGTGGAGGACGAGGCTCAGGGCTCAGACCCTGAGAGCGCCAACACGTTAAACACCCTCAAGAGGCCCTTCGACCTCCTGATTGCTGCCGCCATGCAGATGAACCCCACGCAGTTCCAGCTACCCAATGACCTCACCTGCACTACCGCACTTCCAGGTACAGCTGGTGGAAGCCCCATCAATAGGGACAGGCTGATATGAGCCCTCTGAGCACAAGGGATATCCTGAACCTGATCCTAATAATTTAATATTGATTATCTGCCAGTAGTGATAATTTGAGCCGATAATTGTATTTTCATAGATGATACAGCCACACGTTTTACTACGATAAAGTTAGTAAAACCCATTCAGTTTAGGTTAAATATGGTATATTGCTGCAGTAAAATCGCTTAGTTTTCAGTGTGTGCCTAGAACCTGTATAGAGCTGTCTAGGAGGAGATGTTATGTTTTCATTGCTGTGCACTGTATTCCTGTCATGTTGTTGTATCTCACTGATCACTTTTTAATGGGCTTCCTCAGGAACCAGCAAAAAGAGAAGGAAAGAGGAAATGACAGGAAAGAACGTGAAGCGGCCGCAGCACGAGCTGGACCACTATGGGCTGGTCCCACTGCCAGTCAAAGTGTGTTACACCTGCAACAGGTACTGCATTTCTTCCTTCTCCCTTACAACAGTAACTACTTATAGCCATGACTGTTTTCCCCATTATTTTATATACAAAAAAAGGTCTTTTTTTGATCTTTTAAAAAATTCATACAAATGATGTTCTCTCCACATATGCTAGTGGAACTTATGTGATATGTTGTTTGCATCGTATACGTTTATTTCTGGGAAATAAAGTGAAGCATCTTCAATAATAGTCTGCAAAAAACACAAAATGGGTAAAACTGCCTGAAATTACTTGTGGCGAGAGTAGCCATAATGGTCTGAAAAACAACCTAAAAACAGGGCGAAAACACAAACTGTGTGGCTGCCAGGCAGATTCCCCAGCAACTGGAGATTCAGGTTCCACGAAAACGAATGTAATGCAGCATTTGGTCTCCGTTGCACTTGCTTTGTTGCAGGAGCTGCAGACTGGCTCCGTTGATCCAGTGTGATTATTGCCCCCTTTTGTTCCACATGGACTGTCTGGACCCACCGCTCACTGCCATGCCCACGGGGAGGTGGATGTGTCCCAACCACATCGAGCACCTGGTGGTAAGCAGGGCCTCATCCTGTTTACTCGTGTCTAGTTCTGCTCAGTTGCTGTGCATACTTGTTAATAAGTCCGCTCTGTCAAACAAATAGTAATTCAAATTATTTAGAACATGTTTTAACTTTGCATCAAACCACTGAAAGTCATGTGTCTGTTATTAATTATAGCTGAACCAGAGAAGCCTCACACTGAGCAATCGCTGCCAGCTGTTTGACCAGTTTCAAGACCGCATATCCCAGCATGCTGTCAAAGTAGACTTTTTGCAGCGAATACACCGCCAGCACCCTCCTACACGACGAGCAGCCCACGTGCACACGAAGAAATCCCTGAAGGTCAGACCTCACTCGACGAAGTTAAAAGTTTAGTAACGCTATTAGACTGCAAGTTGTAACTGGAAGTCGACTTGCCTCTAGGTTCCAGATGCCATCAAGTCGCAGTACAAGAATCCGCCTGTAATGATGGCGCCTGCCGGAATCCGGGAAGGTGAGCTGATCTGCTCAGGCGTTCCGGAAGTCTCGCCGTCCCAGCACTTCGCCAGCGACGATGAGCAACAGCAGGTATGCACAACGTAACTGTCACCTTTTGAATCTAGAATGGCTCCCAATCCTGGTCCTGCTCTGCACATTCCTGCTGTAACACAACCACTTCAACTCAGAAAGGGTGTTTTTGAATTAGCTGATTAGTTGGAGCATGAGGCAAAAAAGTAGGGTAACGTACTTTTACCACGGGACATCTCTAATGTTTTTACTTTATTCATTACATTAAAATGTTTATTGTTTGTATCAGTCCCGACTGACCATATTACCCTAGTTAGAGTCTTCACGGTTACATTTACGTACCGTGTTCAATACAAGATTCTCGTGATTACATACAAATCTCTGCTTGGCCTGGCTCCTGATTACCTGTCTGAGCTTCTCCATTTATATGTCCCATCGAGTCCTAACAGTTGAGTAATTTAGGGATGCCTCCTCTCTATCCTCAATCAAATCTACATTAAAGATATTTGTTTTTACTATGCTGTCAGTGTACCTCCTGTCTTTGAATGTAATGTCTACATGTATCTGATAATGTTTTCTTTTTGTATTTAATTCTGACCTCCTGTTTGTGTTCTATGATTGTAAAGCATACTTGAGCATAGGAAAGGTGCTATATGAATAAATAAAAGTATAATGATGATAATGACCTACCTGCACGAGACAAGAAAGCTGGGTGTAAAATACAGAGAGGCTACTCAAATTACACACTGGTGTCACACCAAAAAAGTTCCATAAAAAAAAACATTAAGCTGTTCACGAGTACAAAACATGACCAAACAGGTTATTTCATCCTTTAACCATCTACTTAGCTGTCTTAAGCGAGTGAAATGTCATTAGCTTGGGAATTTAAAGGCCATTACACACCGAACGCAACGCAAAAAAACCCCACAAAAATGCTGAATATTTGGCCGTGCTTTTTTTTAACACTAAAAATTATACACACTGTGTGCAACAGGCAACGTGCAGGATGCTTTCAACTTTGGAAAAGTTAAAGTTAAACTGAGTGTGTCTCCACCTTTTCCAGGGTCTTAAACTTTATGATCTCCTTCACTCGCAGCTCGGCTCTCTGTAACTCAGTCTGAGCTGCTTTTGGAGATGCAGTTTCACACAAGACGAAGTGCAAAAACAGGCTGAATGTTTTCAAGTGCAAATCAATATCGTTTGCTCCTTACAGATTGGGCAAGTGGTGACACTGAGCTACTGTCCATTTTGGAAAAGTGAAAGTAGCATGAAGAGCTTCGTAGCTGCATTCAGAAGCAGAAACTTACTTAATTGAACGTTTGTAGCCCAGTTTGAGCTGCTTTTGGAGATTCTGATCCTTTGCAGACGTTTGCAGAAATGTTCCAGTTTTTAGCCAGTTGAACATCTTGGTTGTTATCATGCCAACGCCAGAGACGACCGTGATTGGTCAGCGAGTTCATGACGGCAGCTCAAATTAGCAGAAATTGAACAGCGAGCGAATAAATTGTGGTGTTTTAACTGTCCAGAAATGTTTGGTGTGATATCAGTTATACACGTATTCAAATTGATTTACTGTCATCTGAATAATTGGATTTGGCGTGTAAAGGCCTTTACAACTGCTGTCAACATCGTCCGAAAAACTCTACCTCCCCCCCCTTCTCGTTTTATCCATTTTAATGTTTTGAGGTAGAACACGCTTCAGCTTGATTTGGGCCACAGAGAATAAATGCTTGTTCTGCCTCAAGAAGAAAAATGCAAAGTCTCCTTTTCAAAGGATTTGATACAGTATTTACATATTGTTGATTTGCAGGGGATTAATATAAGCAGGGTTATCTCTACAGATTGTTTTATAGTAGGTAAAAGCTGCCAAAATCTTGATGTAAGAGGTGTGCAATCTGTAAAACTGATGGACATTCAGATTCAGACAGGACTGAAATCAGAGATTGACCCACATTAACCCACCTACCCATGAAAAACTAATCCTATCTGAATAGTACTTTAGACGAGGAACTAGTTATATCTTGTTTAAGTAGGTCTATTTAGTTAAACTTAATCAGACCAACAAATTAAGTAATTTCCGGGCTCAGATGGAAAAGAATCATCTTCAAGTAATACAGAACAATACAGTGCAAACTGTTGACCTAGTTTTAATTGTGTTGATTTACATTTGACTGTTTTTCTTTGATCCACACAGTGGCTCAGGGACGTGATCTCGCTCCAGTGTAGCATCATGAAGCATTTGTCTGCCAAGCAGACGTCCTCCTCGCAATGGGACTCGGAAAACACAGAAAAAATGGACGTGAAGCCGTGTATGGCGGTGGACTCTGGCTCTCTGCTTTCTTCACGCAGCACGGATTTTGTGGCCTCTGGCAAACTGCCGGACGTCCTCAGCCTTAACTCAGCAGGAGCCGGTGAGGAGCACAGGGCATGTAGCTCTTGCACAGACAGTCCATGTCAGAACTGTGGAACCACCAATGGTCCTATAGACAGGCTGGCCCAGGCCAACGGCAGGCAGGTCTGCCCAGGCGTCCTGGAGGATGACCTCCAGCAGGGGCCAGTTAAACCCACGGGCCCTGAAGCACCGCATTCTCGCACTCCTCCTACCCCTTTGCCGTCGGGCCCAGACCTGTCCAACCATGCTGGTCCCATGCCCGTTAAGACTGAAGACCCAAATTTAAAGTCCTGTGCTGCTACAGAGCCCCTTCCCTCCGTTAAATCTGAGCCTAGCCCCCCTCTCTTGCACACTCAAAGGACTTCCCCAAGCTTGCAGGGGGGCCCGGTCTCTGTGCTGGCGAAACGGTTGCCATCCTCCCTTGCCTCTGGGACGCAAGCCATCACGCCGCCCCAAGCTGTCCCAGATACTGGTGCCATCTGTCAGGCCTCTCCAGCACCCTCCTCTGGTGAGTTTTGGTATTGCAATAAAGTGAGTCGCTCATAACCAGTGGTTAATGTTGAGAGCATTTATTAACCACTGTTGTTGCTTCCTCAGATGGAAAACTTAGTGAAGATGCTGCAACACAAGGCAGTGGGTCAGAGCTCTTAAATCTGGGAGACCTGTCCGGCTGCTTGAAGAGCATGATGAAGGGGACTGGAGGTGAGCTTGACAGTGAAATGCTATGAATTTGGGTGTCAAAATGCATTGATCTGACAGCGGTGATCCATCTGCGTTAATTCTGAAATGTTGGAATGGAGTGTAATTGATTACTGCAGTGTTCAATTCAGTATTTATACACTTCTTGGCAAAAATAAACACACATGCAGACAACTCCCCCATGCATTTACTGTCTGTGTTTCATTAGTGTATAAATAGTCCTTCTATTTGGATATAATTCTGTATCATACCAAAGTAATTAAATTTAAATATGTTAATGTTATGATTCATTGAATTGTTGTCTATGCCAGAGACTGCCAACTATGACATGGCCTCATTCTTCAGACTCCTACTTATCTGAAACAAGTACCGTGTTCCTCTTGCAGAGATTGAACTGAACACGTTAGATGAGAGGTTCATCAAGCTCCTGGCGTGGCAGCGGATCCAGCAGCTGTTGGAGCCAAAAGCACTTCCTTCACACAGCAGTGTGGCGTCTCCTACCACAACCTCCCTCACGCAGGACAGCCGGCACACTGAAGGTTCTTCTGTTTGTTGGTTGGTTTGTTTGTTTGTAGGCATTTATGAATTTGGAACTCAACAAACATTTCCTCTCTTTCAGCACAAAACAAGGATGTACAGGCAAGAGCTACGTTTTATCCTCTCTCTGGGAAGGGAGCAGCAATCAACATGTGCTACAGAAGCCTTTACATTGGAACTGGTCAGTCCCTCTTCTAGCATTCTTTTGCTTAATATGTATAATAAAAAGTTGTCATGTTTGGTTCTTTTAACCAGTCAGGTTTTGCCATTTTTTTTTCTGCAGGTGCTGACATGGATGTGTGCCTTACAAATTACGGCCATTGCAATTACGTGTCGGGGAAACATGCTTGCATCTTTTATGATGAGGTACCTGGTTCTAACTGGTTTCACGTCTTTGTACAGTCTCGAATATTTCATTTCTTTTGGAATTCTTGTTTATTTGGACGCATCTTGACGTTCTCTGCATCATCATGTGTAGGATTGACTTTAAAAATAATTTGCAGATATTTTCTGATCAAAATACACGTCAGTCTATTGTTTTAATAGTAAGGGATGTACATTACTTGTAAATATTACATTACAGGGATTTTAAAGTTAAATTAGTTTTAAATTAGTTAATATTAATATAATAATTCTCTCTCAGAATTCTCACATTTTTGACAGTACTGTTTAAAAAGCAATCAAGACTGAGAGAACAGAGACATTCATTGTTTAACTTTTTTTTTTTTTGGCCTCAGCCCGGCTGAGATTTCACCTCTTTTTAGGACAGATTCACAACAACTGTTCAATGACTTGTATCAGTAGACTAAGCTTAGTTGAAGACCTCATATTTACACCTCTATAAATCCTCACATCAAAGGGTTCTAGGTAATGTGATTAATTTCATTTGAATGACTTGAATGATGCGGTGTGAGCATCACTAACGGTCCTAATTCATTTTTACAGGACCGCTTTCCACCATTTCATTTTCTTTCGGAACTAAACAGGCAGTTTTTATTAATGTGCCTTTAAGACTGATTAATGTAAATGATCTTCTGATTGGCTGCCCTATGCTATGCCTCATTCAAAAGTCAGTCCAGGCTGCAAGACTCCTTATAATTTCAGCATAAATGGAGAACCTAAATATATGCACAAGTATGTTTTTTTTAATAGCATCACAAAACTAAATTCAAAAACTAAATTCCACATATGGACTGTGGACGTGAACAGTACGTTTAGGAACTTGAACAGTGTTTATATACTGCATCCGAAACAGCGAGTAAAATTTGGTTTTCCATGATCTGGGCCTTCTAAGCTTAACAATCAGTGTGCTGGTAGGAAGCTTATGGGTTTTTAATAACAGGACCTTCCGTGCTTTCAGAATACAAAGCAGTACGAGTTGCTGAACTACAGTGAGCACGGGACAACGGTGGACAACGTGCTGTACTCTTGTGACTTCTCTGAGAAGACGGGGCCCAGCCCGTCCAGCAGCCTCGTGTCTAAAGTACAGAACATCATCCGTAAGTACTTAATGCCAATCTAGTCGGCCTTCCTTTTAATATGAGGATGTTGACGTGTCGTATATACACGGTCATTCCAACAGATTGCAGTACACTACAGGAGGCATTAGGGGTAATATGGCTTCTACTCTTGCGTTGCACCATAAAAGAAAGAGCTGACATAATTGCAAATGACTCTCAGTGGTAATGTGAATTAGGAATAGTGATCAACAAGACGTTTCTTGGATCTCCTGAGTTGGTCATTACTTCAAAGAGCCTTAACAATTCGGAGATTGAGATATATCCCCCCCGCACTACCTTGTAGTATTTCAGTTACGTTTAATTCAAAATCATAAATAAAAAGCAAAATAAATGATCATAAAGCTCTGAGACTCTATCACTTGCAGTCAATTGTTGTGAAATAGGCCTGACTTTGTTTGTTTTCAGGCCGCTGCAAGAAGAGGAAGCAGGAAGAGCAGGAAGCGGGTGCTGAGGCAGCTGTCCTGCCTGACGGAGGTGTGATGAGCAGCCAGGCTGAGGAGCCGCCCCTCACGCCCTGCAGCTGCAAGGCCAGCGGCTCCAGCCTGATCGGGGGCAGCGGGGCCGGCTGGGAGGGCACGGCGCTCCTGCACCACGGCAGCTACATCAAGCTGGGCTGCCTGCAGTTCGTCTTCAGCATCACCGAGTTCGCCAGCAAGCAGCCCAAAGAGGAAGAGGGCGCCAGCGCCATCGCCTGCAGCCCTGCACCCAGCCAGCAGGGGGAGCCGCTGGCCAAGCCCAACCCTCAGATCCACCAAGTGCCCGTGCTGCACCACAACCCGGTTCCTTAGCCCTTATGTCGGCGCCACCTGCAACTTTCAACCAACCAGCCTCGGAGCTCGGACTTGTACAAAATATCCGCTTCTTTTGTAATTATTTAATTGTTCATACATTTGCATGAGGTGAAGTATTTTTTTCCCTTTCCCTCTCTTTCAGAGGCTCTGATTTTGTGGGCAAGTTGCACATAGAAACTTTCTTTGTGTGTAAATGCAAAAGTAAATGCATTTTTAAAAGGGATTGGGCGTCCTTGATATTCTCAGAACCAATGAGCAGCCGAGAAGTTTCCACTTGTAAAGAAATGAGAACATGTTCTATTTTGTGCCAGTAACGATAGTTTTTATATAAACATGCTTTTTTTTCATAAAAAACAGAAACTTTTATTTACTCATTTTTATTTAATGTACTGTATTTGGAAGTATAGTAATGTTCTGGTGTTCCATTTCGCTACCTTCACAGTAGCCTCTCTATATTCAGATGTGTGCTCGACACATGTGAATATGCTTACACATTGTATATATGTCTATGTACCTGTATCCATGTATCTGTGTGAATATGGAAATATCCACACACCAAAACCTACACGAAAGGAATCCATTGTGTAAAAACCAGTGATGAGGGAAGCACTGGATTCCATGTACATATACCGTTCTGGCTTTTATATTTGTACAGTGCTTCATTTGGTTGATGTTCTGTAGTTATGAAAGTGTTAAGTCCTTTTTTTTCCCCCTTCAATACTGTAGTCATTATGTATATGTCTGTTTCAAAGAGATTTCATCTGAACAGTTTCATGTACTCTGTAATTACGATTTTGACCAGTTTCTTGTCTGTCAAACAATGTAAATATCTAAAGATTTTAAATAACATGCTTTAGAAACACGATCTATGGCATTTTTACTTAAAGGGTGCGTCACTCAATCATTGCAACATAAAGGTTATTCAGAGTGGTTTGATGTGAAAAGATGTTTTGTATAGCACTTTACAGTCTCTTTACAGTGGTGGTGATAGGAACCAGGGGTCACAGTGTGTACACTATAAATATAGCCATTTTATTTTCTATCCAAAATGACCAGGGAATCTACATGTGTCTTCAGAGTTTTGTTGCTAATGGTAAAATAATGAAAAAAGAAAGGTTTCCTTTGGGCACTATTTTGCTCAAATCCCTGCATGTATCCCTCCACCATGAATGTGTGTCTAAAAAGTACATTTTAGGTCGAATCCTCATCTCCAAACTATTATAAAAGATCGTAAAAAGAGGCAACATATTTGCAACCATTTCACATATATTTTTGTGAGGTAGCTTTCAGGGCTGATAAACACTTCAGGCAGCACTGTGTAATATTTTTGTTAAAGCTGAAAGAAGTAGCTTTACTGAGTATAGAGAAAAATAGAACACTAAAATGGTGAGTCTGTAAAGCCTGAAGTAATCATTCAAAAGTCAGAGGTACCAGAACAGATTTGGAGAGTTTTTTGGCGAGTCATAGGTCTTTACGTCACACAGGCAGACTCAAAAAGATGGTCCGACTCGATGTTTAGAGCTGTGTCCGAAACTAGTGCACTATTCACCAGACAGTGCACTATTTTGGGGGTTCACCATTTTGTAGTGGTGTTCAAAAACAGTGTAGAAGATCTAGTGCACTTCAACAATCCCACAGCACACCTTAATAAGTAGTCTACAATCGATGTACCCTACCTAGAGAACTTGAGAACTACCACTCTGTAATGTCATCTGGGTTTCTCAAACACTAGAGGGCGCTCACAAGAGAGTCCAAAATGAATGGGTTAAGATGGAGCATTTCAGCAAAATCATAGTTCATAAATGCTTAAACATTGTAATATAAAAGAATACATTAATTTCCTGAACACAGAATATCGTAAAACATTTTAGTGTTATATTCTTAAACACTTTTGAACTCAAGTAATAGGAGTTTAAAGCAGCGCCTCATGTACATTCATGACATGGACAGCCAATGAGCTGCTCCGCTCACCAACCAATCAGCTCTCAGTAGCAGTAAGGTTAGTGTCCTGCTGCCCTTTGGCGTTTTGTAGTAGAAACAGGAAGAGGTCAGGCTCTTCATAAACCGGCTCTGCCCTAGAGAAGATATGGGACACCCATAATGCACTGTGTTGGTTGGTTGGTTTGAAGATTCACAAACAACTGGGATTACCAAGCCCAGCTACAACAACTGAACAACTCTGAGTCTGTAAGTTTCTCTAGAACGGAGCATTTCACATCAAACCTCCCTGAATGACTGTTTACCACTAAAAGGGGAATTCCACCAATTTTTCAAACTTTATTTATAATTCAGTTCTTAAGATGTAAATAGGTATTCAGAGCGGTCTGACACGAAATGGTTCAATGTAGAGAAACTTGCAGACTCACAGGTAATAAGAACCAGTCCATGTCTACAACACGAATATAGTCATTTTATTTACCATCCAAAACCACCAGTGAACCTACACGTGTCATTAAGTTTATATATGTAATGTTTATGATGGTAAAATAGTAGTAAATCTGAGAAAATTAGTTTTCTTACAACATGCTTCATAAACCTCTCTGCCATTAATGGATTAAGTTCCATTTTAAGCCAAAACTTTATCACCAAACTATGTGTCAGACATCAGGCAGCATAAATCTAACCATTTCATGTAATAACTTTCTGTGAGGGAGCTTTTAGAGAGAGGCAGGCGTCTGGTTCCCATCACCACCACTGTGAACAACTCTGACTCGGCAAGTTTCTCTAGAACAAAGCATCAAACTCCAAACTACTCTGGATGATTTTGTTCACCTCTTAATGTTTTAATTATGTAGAAAATTTGAAAATTTGGTGGATGTCTACTTTAAACACTACACAGACTGGGATTGGTGGATGCAGGGCGATTTCTTAGCAGCAGTTGGCTCAGTAGGATCACAGTGAAATTGGCATTGCCTTCATAAAGCTTATGTAATCGAAGTCTCGTGGGTGTATCAGCACAGCGACTTCTGTGCCGTTGCAGAAACAGGCATTTAAAAAACGAAGATGATTTACCTTCTGGTCGTTTGCGGGGCTCTGCTCGGTGTTTACGCTCTGCTCTGTATGACGGTTCTTAAAATGCCGAGATGTAAAAGCTCAGCAAGGCTCCATGGCAAGACGGTCATCGTGACTGGTAAGTGCTGAGAGACTCCCTTAATGCATGCTGTCGGTACGGAGATCATGCGTTACATAACGGCTGGATTTGCCGGAATTTCCGAGGCTGAAGTTGGCTTCCTATTCGAACTCACCCGTTCCACCTTAAATGGTGAAGCAGTTCCATTCTGGCGCCTCAGCCAGAATGGAACTGCTGCCCTATTTAAGGTGGAACGGGAAAGTTCGAATGGGAAGCCAACTTAAGCTTATTTATGTCACTATACATTTAACAGTAGGTTTCACGCTGATTAAATCAAGCCAACGTTGTGTCTTATTTCACTTTTCAGGGTTCAAATACCGGCATTGGGAAAGCAACGGCGATGAACCTCGCCAAACGAGGAGCCCGAGTAATACTCGCCTGCAGAGACAAGCAAAGAGCCGAGGCTGCTGTGAACCATATTAAAAAGGTACGACTTAAAACAAAGCAGAAAAGTGGCTGCACTCTGCTGATGCCTGAGAAGAGTGCAACTGCCGCGTCCCAAATGGCTCCTTGCTCCCTACGTAGTGCACTTCTTGAGTTATTAAATCTGGACTTGTACACAAAAACAGTGCAGCATATATCCTGTAGGGAAGTGCGCACATGTGGCCGAATCTCGAATGGCTCTTTTTTAGGCATATTGTGCACTGTTTTTTGGTGCTGGAGTCGTTATTTTAAGACCTACGTAGTGCACTACATAGGGAGTAGGGAGCCGTTTGTGATTAAGCCCAAGTAATCGCTGTGTGAACTACCGGCTTATCAGGAATGATTTAAGACTGTGCGAGCTTAACGGCAGCCCGCGGCACAGAAATGTGCTTTAGTACTGAAAATGTTATATAAATACGATTAGTTTCTATGTAAAAATGGTTTATCTCATCTAATAAGAGAAGTTAGCAGGAGTTCAATCTACCGTTTGTTCCCAAAGTGGGGGCTGAACTTGCTGGGCTGCTCTGGTAGTTTTCCGGCGAGTGCGCATGCGCACCTACGACCTATTCTCTATTGCTGGGTGCGCCTACGACCTATTCTCTATTGCTGGGGTGTCCGAAGTTCGGCTACAGTGCCAAGTGTTGCCCGCAGAGAGGTTTTAATAGGACCGTGGCTTCTGTTTTAGAGTGTGTTGTAAATGACCCAACCATAGATACACATACCCAGATGCCGCGTTGTCTGTTGTTCTCTATCTGAGGCGATACGTCTGCGCGTCCGCCATGTTGGAGCGGTCAAGATCCGCTTGTGAACAAATTCACTTGTATTGAGAGATGAAGAGTCTCAGGATTAAATCACCAACAACTTCATTATTACTTAACCGATTCTCGCTAAATTTGTTTTGTTACAATCTTCAGACACAGATTAATCTAAGCTGCACGGACTGCTCTCGGTAGCTTTTATTTTAGAGTTGGAGTTTTCCCGTTCCACCTTAAATGGTGCATCAGCCAGCTTCTTGTTCGAATATTCCCGTTCCACCTTAAATGGTGCAGCTTCAGGCACCAGAAAGTGACTACTGCACCATTTAAGGTGGAACGGGAAAAGTCGACAAAGAAGCTGGGAAATAATAAGCTGACTTAAGCTTTGTGTAAGAAGGTGCTGAAGTTCATCTATTATGAATATCTACACGGATTAAGGAATGCTATAACATACATAGCTAACATTAACCATCGCTGTAAATAAATATTACATAAAGATCCCATGAATAGACTATTAAATAAAATAAGCTTAATATAAAACCAGAGGAAAAACAATCACATCAAGTTTCTCTGTGCTTCACCAACCTCACGACCATATCTACACAAACATCACACAAACAATACTCATCACACAAACATGAGTGTGGATCGCTGCGTTCCCTCCGTTATATAATCCTATCCCGCTTTCTGAGAGCAATATTCCTGAAATAGTGTCATTTTGGACAGTATCTTACTTAAACTGCCGCTCTGTAATGGTACTGAATGCAGTCCAGCAGCGATGTTGACCGCCCTAAAATGGCGGCGCCATTGACGTGCCTGGCTGGACCCAACGCGGCATCTAGGTATGTATATCTATGAGCCCAACAATTAGTATGTTGCAGTTTTTTCCTTTCACCTGATGGTGGTGACAGCAGCACCGTAAAATTAGAAATAGGAAGAGGCCGATTCCTTAATTAATTGGGTGTAAATGGAGCTAAACGGCTAAAAACGAAAAGTTAAAATAGTTTTTAATCACTTGCCCAGTCCTTCAATTTTAGAACGTATTGGTTAGCATTACTGCTACTGAGAGCTGATTGGTTAGCATTATTGCTACTGAGTGCTGATTGGTTAGCATTATTGCCACTAAGTGCTGATTGGTTAACATTACTGCTACTGAGAGCTGATTGGTTAGCATTACAGCTACTTAATGCTCATTGGTAAAGCGGTTTAGATTTCAGCCCCCTGTTGGCTTGGGCCTCGGACACACTCATAAAACCAATGAGACGATCTGGGCCCATTTATTTTGGACTGCCTCGTGAGCGCCCCCTGGCATCTGAAAAACCGGAAGAAATTACAAGTGGTTTGAAATTCTCTATAGAAAAGTAATAACAACTAATATTCTGATACTGAAACTATTTTTGAGCCTTTAAAAGGAAAGATATTTATGATCTCTGTGGTGAAAACCAGTAAATATGTAGCTGCCTTTGCATTAGTATAAACTACCACATAAACCGAGGGCAGAAAGAAAAACTGATTTAAATCCTACACATTTATTTGCTACAGTCATTCTTATTTTACATTTTCAACATCACACTTTCACACTTTCAGTTCAAAGTGTTCAAAAGATCAGATCAGTTAAGAAAACACTGAGTTGAGATTGAGCATCAGTACTTCTACCTGAGCCAAAAAAAGTAACAGGAGTACTGATCAGTATGAACCCACCCACCCCCATCACCTGTTCTCTACTTGGACCAAGAACAGAGATACTTTTGAAAGGACTTCTTGTGTATATAAAAAGGCAAAATCTGTGTAAAAATGTATTAATAGTGTTAATATTACATAAACGGTCCAAAAGACCAGACAGCTGTTTTGCTGTTTGTGTGTGTGTGTGTGTGTGTATGACAACACTGTTATGCTTTGTGCAGACTTACTTATTAATAATTAAACTGGACTGTGAACTGTAATGGTTTCAGCCTGGCCACTTTTATCACACAAATTAATCTCATTAGTAATGGTTATGCCATCACTCAATTTAAAGACTTCTGTATTAGAAAATAGAATTATAGGTCTTACTATAGCTCATAAATTATATCATACACCGATTGGGCATAACATTCTGACCACCTCCTTGTTTCTACACTCATTATCCATTTTATCAGCTCCACTTACTATATAGGAGCACTTTGTAGTTCTACAGTTACAGACTGCAGTCCATCTGTTTCTCTGATACTTTGTTAGCCCCCTTTTACCCTGTTCTTCAGTGGTCAGGACCCCCATGGACCCCCACAGAGCAGGTACTATTTGGGTGGTGGATCATTCTCAGCACTGCAGTAACACTGACGTGGTGGTGGTGTGTTAGTGTGTGTTGCGCTGATACGAGTGGATCAGACACAGCAGTGCTGCTGGAGTTTTAAACACTGTGTCCACTCACTGTCCACTCTATTAGACACTCCTACCTTGTCAGGCCACCTTGTAGATGTAGAGTCAGAGACGATAGCTCATCTGCTGCTGCACAGTTTGTGTTGGTCATCCTCTAGTCCTTCATCAGTGGTCACAGGACGCTGCCCACAGGACGCTGTTGGCTGGATATTTTTGGTTGGTGGACTATTCTCAGTCCAGCAGTGACACTGAGGTGTTTAAAAACTCCAGCAGCACTGCTGTGTCTGATCCACTCAGACCAGCGCAACACACACTAACACACCGCCACCACATCAGTGTTACTGCAGTGCTGAGAATGATCCACCACCCAAATAGTACCTGCTCTGTGAGGGTCCATGGGGGTCCTGACCACTGAAGAACAGGGTAAAAGGGGGGCTAACAAAGTATGCAGAGAAACAGATGGACTACAGTCTGTAACTGTAGAACTACAAAGTGCACCTATATAGTAAGTGGAGCTGATAAAATGGACAATGAGCGTAGAAACAAGGAGGTGGTCATAATGTTATGCCCGATCGGTGTATGATATATAGTGGAATGATTTTTTTTTTCAGATCTGAAGCAAGAATGAAGCTTGATTTTGGTTTTGATGGTCTATCAGGTCTTGCAGGTGGTTGTTGGGAGCCCCATTTTCTCTGTAGCTTTTAATTTTCTGAACTCCAGTTTTTCAGGTTTTGACTTACTTTCCTTTTCCTTATGCAAGTTGATTATCTTCTATCTAATCTCCTCATAAATATCTCCTTTAGCCATCTAAAATGCACACAACCATTAACCACCTGTCTTCTCCTTATCACACAGGAAAGTGGAAACAATGAGGTGGTGTATATGCATTTGGACCTCGCCAGTCTCCAGTCTGTGCGATCGTTTGCTGAGAACTTTCTCAAGGCAGAGCCCAGACTGGACATACTCATCAACAATGCTGGTGGTGTTTCTTTCCTGTGATCACCATAATAATATCCCAGGCCTGTATTACTCATTTATACATGCGTTTTATGGTAGTTTTGTATTGATTTTTGTCCGAATATAGGGCTTGTGGTGAGAGGCAAGACGGAGGACGGTTTTGGAATGATTTTTGGCGTCAATCATCTCGGTCACTTTCTGTTGACCGTTCTGTTGCTGGACCGACTGAAGGAGTGCGCTCCCAGCAGAGTGATCACTGTGTCCTCATGCGCTCATATGGTCGGAAAAATCGACTTTGACTGCATCAACACCCACAAAGACGTAGGCCTCGGGGGATTCTGCCATAAGCTTGCTGAAGTTATATTCCCACAGCAAACTCTGCAATGTTCTTTTCACCCATGAGCTGGCCAAGAGACTGGAGGGCACAAACGTCACCTGCTTCAGTCTTCACCCAGGTCTGTGCACAGCAAGTATCCTAACTCCAACAGGGTCAATGAATGTAAATAAGCGCCACATCTCACCTCTGTTGTATGCAACAGACACGCTGGTTGATATAAAGCTGTCACAGTTACTCAATTAATGATCAAAACTCTCAGTAATTTAATGGCTTTCACAAAGTTTGCTGAATTTCTGCATAATTTGATTGCTAAACCAGAGTGGTTTAATAATAGTACATTATAGACACTTTATTTACAGTGATGGTGACAGGAACCAGACGTCTTGATGTTTACAATGCAAATGTAGCCATTTTATTACTATCCACAGATGGTCAGTGAACGTACACAAGTTTTTATATGTAACGTTGATGATGGTAAAATAGTGGTGGCCTTACAACACCCTGCAAGTATCCCTCCCACCATGAATGTATTTTTTAAAAAATACATGTTTGAGAACAAAAGCTTATCTCAAAACTATTGCAAAACAAACTCTCAGCCATCATGCGTCATATTCATAACCACTTCATGTAATAACTTTCTGTGAGGGAGCTTTTAGAGGCATTAAATTCAAGTCTGGTTCCTGTTGCCACCACTGTAAACGATTGTGACGATTCTTCTCGATAAGTTTCACACCAAACCGCTCTAAAATGTTAATGATCTTAACTGTAGAAATTTCTCCTTCAATCAGATAAACTCACTTGCACAGTTGTGTGTAATTCTGTCTATATTCTGTGTATATGGGGACGATGTGCATATTGTGCATGGATAATACTGTATACTCTCTGTTGTCTCTTGTATTATGTTGAACTGGATGCGCTTTACTGTTCTATTTGTGTTATGCAGTTTTATGCGAACCACGACTATTAGAGTTGAGCTTTCAGTTTGGCCCATAAATATAAAAATATCAGTCAAAAAAGGAAGAACACCTCTGTGATTATGCAACCTTCTCCTAGCACATCTATCGGATTATAGTAGTATGTTAGAACTAAGCTAACAATAATTAACTTTTTTTGGCTGTTCTAGATTAAACATGGACTTTTGACACCTTGTAAAATTCATGCAGTTGTATGCAGAAGTTTGTGCACCCCTGGACAGATGATATTTTGTTGAACAGACTTCTGCACATTTTAATGCATTTATGTTTATGTGCAGAATTTAACATATTGGGAAAAAAAAATAAAACATAAAACATGGCCCGTGCAAATGTTATGGATCAATTTATGTTTTATTTTTCCCCAATATGTCAAAACCTCAGCAAATGAATAGAATTTGTGCACTAAGACCTGCAAAAAAATGCCATGCAGAGAATGCATGTTTAGGGGTGTTCAAACATTTTTTGTTTTGACCGTGTTAACATATTTTACCTTGTAGCAATATTACAGAATCTCTTTCAGTAAAGAGCTGCTGCTGTTTTCCATCAATAATAACTGACTGAAATGCACTAGTCAGGCTACCACTCGTACCCACAGTCAGTGACGTATCTAGAACTTCCAGAAGGCCTAGAGTGACCTTTTTTGGTCCCACCCAGAAGTCAGAATCATAAATGATTAATTCCACTTTAAGTTAATCTGATATGTCAGTTCAGCTCCTGAAGTCCCAACTAATCAGAAAGCTCGCTTGACTGTATCCCCTGAGATATTAGAGGGGAAAAACTTGTCTTTCCAAACAAGACTTAACGAAATAAGAGTAGCACTGCAATACTTGTAGAGTTTAAATACAACAAACATGATCATATTAAATGAAAATGAACTAAAAGTTAAACAGGTATTTTGTCATTTCACTGAAATTATTCTCTGAAGGCCTAGAAGGCCCTGACGGTTCCGTCCTGATGTTATAATATGCTTGCTTGTTCCAAATCTACCAATAATTTAATTGAAGAATTCTACACCATTTTACTCCTGGTATGTGACACATGAACCTCGAAACTTGAAGTTGAAATGTGAGATGTTGTAGCTTACATCTGTTCTCTGCACAACGATCTCGTTATAGGGGTTATAAAAACGGAGATAGGCCGTCATTCCAACCTGTGGTGGAAGATCATCTTGGCACCTTTCGCGCTGCTCTCTTTGGATGTGGAGTCAGGAGCCCAGACTACTCTCCACTGTGCTCTCCAGGAGGGGATCGAGCACCTGAGTGGACGCTACTTCTCCGGATGTGCCGTGGTGGACGTGTCTGCCAAAGCCAGAGACGACGCAACTGCCAAGAAGCTCTGGGAAGTGAGCGAAAGACTGTGTGGCCTAGCTTGACCCCCGTACTCGCTGATTTGTACTGTGAATTCTAATAGTACTTGATTTTTAACATTCTGTTTGCCATGTTTTGTGATAGTCCTCTAATAATTAAGCTACGTGGCGTGTTTGCCAACAGCGCACAAAGCCAGAGGAGAGAGGGTGTGGTGTTATGTGGTGTGAGGTGAGCGCGTCTCTTTTTGTCCCTGGAAGCTGTTGCGTACATGTGTGCTTGCACAAAGTACAGCATGTGTGATGTGAAGTGCCTAGGGCTATCACTAACAAAGACCCACCCCACCCTGGGTGTGAATGTGACAAATGGAAAGCATTACGGCTTTTATATGACAATAAATTACACGTTTTTGTCTTTAAATGGGCCTCCCTGAGAAGATTAGAAGACTGCTCACTTAATGATAGAATACCTATTTAAATCATTGCAAAGTTGCATCACATTATGCTTTAAAGAGCCCATATCATTCAAACAATTACATTTCCACACTTTTTGGAAATGAGAGTTCAGTGTAGTTCCCCCAGTCTGTACACAGCCCATTTTAAATGTATTGTTTTTGTGATGTCACAAAACTAAACACATTGCAAACTAATCAGAAAAGAGCTCATTTACATACATTAGTCATACACACATGGCAACAGAAACAGCCTCTTTAATTCTAAAGGATAAAGATATGATGTAAAAATTGAGTGTGAATGAAAAATAACTTGTGTTTATAAACCCCCCCAGACCTGATAAACTGACATTATTATATACAAATTAAATGCAATAAAATGCATCATGTGGGCCCTTTAATTGCCATTTTCCTGCCCTTTTTAGGCTGCTAAGAATTCACATTTCACTTGTTAACTCTAAGACTGTAAAGAGGGTATTATTCTACAATAATAAAATATGTTTTGAGGAAATTCAGAGGTCGTCTTATTTGCCAAATGATAGACTTGCCACTGATTTTGTTGTTGATGTGGAGTGTTTGCCTGAAAAATAACTGACACATGAAGTCACTTGCGGTCGTTCGGTCTCTTAGTCGCTAAGCAAAATTCCTGCCATTCCTAGATAGGGTAGCTAACACTGTTGTTCACGCTGAAATGGTTTGTATGTGAGGTAGTGAGTCATGTGGACTTTGAATTCACCTTCAATGACTCTCAGGTGCATTTATTTATTTAGGCCTACTTTATAGTTTTGTCATCAGACCATAAACAGTACAAAGTTTGTGATTAAAGGACACAGAGTAAATATTTCAATAGTCTGTCCTCAACTTAAAGGGGAATTTCACCATTTAAAAAAAATTTCAGCATAATTCATTCATACAGTACAGTGGTGGTGACAGGAACCAGGGGTCGCCATGTCTGCAACACAGAAACAGGCATTTTATTTACTATCCAAAACAAGTCTGTTGAGTTGTTATACATACTGCAGACAAGGGTAAAATAGTGGTAAATCTGGAAAGATAACTTAGGGCTGTTTCCTCAGGCACTTTTATTTCTTTGTTGGATCGATTAGGAAATATTCTTGTTTCCAGGGCTGTAGGTTTCCTCACTGAAATGAAAACAATTCCATATTCGGAAGTCCCCATCTTGTCTAGATATCACTGCAATCTGACAGAACACTCACTCCATCTATTATTTCAATAATTACATTATTTCTTATTTTCAAAACTAGGTCATTTGATTCACTACTTTCAAATAGGGCTTAAAGGGGGAATTCCACCAATTCCTTAAAATTTCTGGACAACTAAATATTTGAGTAAACAATCATTCAGAGTGGTTTGATGTGGAATACGTGAATGTCAGGATTGTTCACAGTGGTGGTGATAGGAACCAGACATCTGCTTTACCAAAACTGAGTTTTGAGATGAAACTATCATGAACCAATTTCAGATACCAGACAGTGCACTGGTAACCATATACTGTAGTAACTTTCTGTAAGAATTTTGGAGGTAAACTCTTCAGACGTTTGGTTCTTAACGCCACCACTGTGAACAATATGACTCAGTAAGTTTCTCTAGAACAGAGTATTTCACACTAAACCAGTCTGAATAAGTTTGTTTACATCTGAACCATTTAAATTGGAAAAATTGAAAACTGAATCAGTAGACTTTCGCTTTAATGTTATGAACTATTTCACTAAATTTCTGCTGATGTAAGTTTGTTCTAGCTTGTTAGCTAACAAAAAAAGAACCATGCACCACACTTAAACCAGAAAAAAGCAACTATTCACAAAATATGCATGTTCTGCACTCTGTCTTAAAAAACACTGCTTAGCTAACTAGCTAATTAGCTCACTGGTGACACAGTGTTAAATAAGGCGTGGCCACATAATATATTAAGGCTACGAGTTACTATATTGATGCCACAATTTACTATATTGAGGCCATGAGTTAATATATTGATGCCACAAGTTACTATATTGGGGCCACAGTTTATTATATTGAAGCCACAAGTTACTATATTGATGCCACAATTTACTATATTGAGGCTACAAGTTACTATATTAAGACCACAATTTACTGTATTGAGGCCTCAAGTTCCTGGATTGAGTCCATGAGTTAATATATTGATGCCACAATTTACTAGAGGCCATATGTTGCTATTTTGATGCCACAGGTTATGATATTGAGGCCACCATTTACTCTACTGAGGCCATGGGTTACTATATTGACATCACAATTTACTGTACTGATTATTGATTTACTATACTGAGGCCACAAATTATTGAGGTCACAAATTACTACATTGAGGCCACAAGTTAACATACTGAGGCCACGAGTTATGAGAAACTTAACCAGGCGCCTGTACAGGTGGTGATACAGCGCGTCTAAATCAATAGCCATTTAAGGTGGAGCACAAAATCCGCATAAGAACTGCATTAATGAAAGTATGACGCAGGGGGGAACATGAGGGAGGCCGAAGGCCTGTCGTCATTAGTTCTCTGTCAGCACAGCTGGGAGACCGGTTGGGCCGCCGTGGAGCTGAGAGAGAGACTTTAATTCACAGAGAGACAAACCTGTCTGACAGGACCGCAGTACAAAAACCCGTCTTCTCCCTCCGTCAACGCACAGCTCGTCCACCGGCAAGAGGATCAAACCTGGGCCCTCGTCCTGCTTCACCATGTTCCAGCTCGTCCTCGGTGCGGTCGTGATTGGGGTCGTTTATGTCCTTCTGGTGGAAACTCTGTTTAAGAAGTCGCAATGTAAAGGAAAGAGAGAGATGTGCGGGAAAACGGTCATAATCACCGGTGAGTTGGAAAGAAATGCTGTTTTTCCTCACAGGCTAACAGTGAGGAGTAGAGTGTCCTACAGTCCATGCTGAGGTAAACCGCTTTATTTCAGTGAAATAAATACTCAAACACAAGTAAAAGCGCCTTTCTAAGAGAAAAAAGGGTGGAAGTACAAAAGTCTCAGGTGAGAAAAAACTACTACTGAAAGGGGAATTCCACCCATTTTTCAAACTTTCTGAATAATTATGTGGGTGAGATGTAAACAGAGGTATTCAGAGTGGTTTGATGTGAAAGACTCTTATTTCTTTACAGTGGTGGTGATAGGAACCAGGGGTCCTGATGTCTACTACCCAAATATAGCCATTTTATTTACTACCCAGAACCACCAGTGAACCTACACGAGTTTTTATATGTAATGCTGGATGGTAAAATAGTCATAAATCTGAAAAAAAAAAAATGCTTTTCTTTGGGGACTGTTTTGCCTTAGAACGCCCCTCATGTACCCCTCCGCCATGAATGGATAAAAACAAATGGGTTAAAATACAGTTTGAATCTAAAACTTTATCACAAAGCTGTCATAAGACAGTGTGTCAGACATCAGGCAACATATATCTAACCATTTCCTCTGATAACTCTGTGAGGTTCTAGAGGTGGACGTCTGGTTCCTATCACCACCACTGTGAACAATTCTGACTTAGTATGTTTCTCTAGAACAGAGCACACCAAACCACTCTGAACGACCTTGTTTACATCTTAACCATGTAATGATGTAGAATTTTTTTGAAAAATTGGTGGAGTTACCCTTTCAGTACTGAGTAACATATAGAGGTCAAGTTTGTTAGGAGCTCTTCTTCCCTTTTTCCATCATTTTTGGTCTAAAATGTTTTATAGCAGTTCTCCAGAGTGAGCGGCGTGAGCACCAGCGGTCCAGCAGTCCAGAGGCTGTCAGCAAAAAGTGATTATGAACTAAACATTTGTGTCTGGATGTAAAAGGAAGATGAGTTTCCTCTCAGATATAATTTTACTTAAAGTAAAAGTATTACCTCCTCAGATGTTTTTCACATAGACTGAAACTGAAAAATGTCAACATTAGAACAGTCCAAGCTAAAAAAAATGTAAGATTAGACTAAAGATTAGATTAAAACAAGTTATTCAGAGTTGAGCTGCTTGCTACTACAGGTGCCACCATTTCCTGTCATTCCATGCTGGGGCGTGCTGGTAGTCTACTGTGATGAACTGTTTATTGATTTGACTCTGTAGATTCTACCTAAACCAGGCTATTCTCATTTATCACTGCTGATTAGCACTTGTGGACAGTGACTTTGTCCCTGCTGGAGACAAATCTGACCTGTTCAACCTTTCATGCCTTTCTCAGGTGGTAATACAGGCATTGGAAAAGCCACAGCCATGGAGCTGGCAGGTCGAGGAGCAAGAGTGATCTTGGCTTGCAGGAACCAGCAGAAAGCCGAGTCTGCCATCAGTGATATTAAGAAGGTAAAGAAGTTGGAGTGACTTATCCCCCCCAGCCCCCCTCATGTTCAGTGTCCTGTATTGAAGCCCATTCCTACCATGTAGAGGGAAAAAAAAACTTTTTTTTGCCTTTCTGGCAAGTTTTGACTTAATATGTCTAAATAATGACTTAGTATCTTGCAATAATGACGTTCTATGCCAAAATGAGGACTTATTCTCAAAAAAATTGACTTACTATGTCAAAATAATGACTTAGTACCTCATTGTCTTTCTATGTTAACATAATGGCATTTTCTCAAAAGATGGACTTAATATGTCTAAATAATAACTTAGTATCTTGCAATAATGACATTCTTTGCAAAATGATGACTTCATATCTCATAATAATTACATTCTACGCCAAAATGGCTTTTTTTAATGACTTACCTATGTCAAAATAATGAGTTAGAATTTCCTAATAATTACTTAGCCTGAAATAATTACTTACTTTCTTGAGATTTAATAACTATAATGTACATATCAGAATAATAATGCTGTATCTTTATTTCAATGTAGTATCTCAAAATCTTGAGATAAGAAAATAAGTAATTATTCAGATACTAAAGTCAATATTTTGAGAAATGAAGATATTATGTGTATATATTGAGAAAAAAATCTTTTGTATCTAGATATAAAGTTAATGTTTTAAATAATAAACTAATAATTTTGAGATACTAAGTCAATATTTGACATACTGCCAACAAAAACACAGGAAGGAGAAAAAATAAGAATAGCTGATTTTTTTTTTTCCTTTTTCTAGTCCACCTGGTTGGAATGAGCTTCCATAGTTCCTAGTCAGTGTCCAAATAACTAAATGAAACGTCTCTTTTTCTACTATATGTGTTACTTGATGTCGTTTCATCAACTATTTACATTCAGCCCAGTCTGTTAAGAAAAAGTAACTGATCATGTTTTCTTACTCCATTTAGGTGACGGGGAGTACTGATGTGGTGTACATGCAGCTCGATCTAAGCAGCCTCAAATCTGTCCGTTCCTTCACTGAGACCTTCTTGAAAACTGAGTCTAGATTGGATCTTCTCATTAACAATGCAGGTAGGCGATTCCTTCACCCTTCTGTCAGAGAAGTCCAGGGTAAATGCTGTTTAACTGATGACTGAATAATTATGTTCTTACTTTTTTCTCCAGGTCTTGTAGCAGATGGTCGAACCGAAGACGGCTTCGGAATAGAGTTTGGGGTCAACCACCTTGGGCATTTCCTGCTAACCTGCCTCTTGCTGGACCGACTCAAAGAAAGCCCAGAAGCCCGCGTGATCACGGTGTCTTCGATGGCTCACCGCTGGGGCAAAATCGACTTTGACGCTCTGGTGGCTAATAAAGATCTGGGCACCGGCAGATACAGCTGGCAGTTCTTCCAGGCCTACTGCAACAGCAAGCTCTGTAACGTTCTCTTCACACATGAGATGGCCAAGAGGCTGAAAGGAACCAACGTTACCTGCTACAGCGTTCACCCAGGTGAGTGACAGATATTTAAAAAGCCTCACCTTCCCTGAGAGCTGATGCATTTGTTGAAATGGGAGACCTAATGGGAGCTCAAGTGCAGTAAAACATTTCAAAAATGTATTTTGGAGTTGGCACTGAACCAATACCTAGTGTCTGTTTCGGGTTGTGATCAGCAAAAAATGCTGGATCAGATAACAGAGGAAAAAAAAAAAGTGTCCATTCCTGTAACAAATCTCGCCTCAAATTCCACACAGTCACATTCTGTCATCTCGCGTTAGCTGCGTATTCCTTCATGACCCTCCTTTTAGATGCTCATCTTAAGTGGAGCACTTCAACCAAAACTAGCTTATTTTAAAGCTTAGTGAGGTTTTTATTGCAAATATCGTATAACTATTCTTAAGGTTTCAATATTGGTATCAGAAAAGGAAACGTGCCATCTCTAGTATATTTCTGACCTCTTAAGATTTATTTATAAATCTGTAGAACTTAATTTCGTTAAGATCTTTGAGATTTATTGATGCAAGAACGATTGATTTCTTGCAGAATTTAGAGAAATAATTTTTATTTAGAGATATCGGAATAGGCCGAAGGGTGTGTTAGCATGATTTAAAGTTTTTTAGCATTTTTGGAATATTTGAGTAACGGTGTTCAAAAACAACTTGCCATTACCTTTAAATGCAAAGTACAGATTTAAAGGGCCCATGTCCTAGATTCCACCCCCCAACCCCCCTGCCCCAACACTGAGGTCCACTTATAACATCTGTAAGGTTTATGGTTTACAGTCATAATTCATTTTTACATTACGTTTTTTCCCAACCTCTCTTTATCTCTTAAAAATAAACAGGCTGTTTTTTGTTACTGTGCCTTTAAGACTGAGATATGTAAATGATCCCTGTTCTGATTGGCTGCCCTATTGCGCCTGATTCAGAAAGCAGTCCAGGCTGCAGGACATTAATGAATTAAAACCGATGTGTGTGGATTTTCTGCTGTTTTTTGAGACATCAGGGACCCTTGGAAGAAGCATAAATGTCTGTCAGCGAGTTTTGAATTTTGAAACATTTTGTTAATTTTCCAAAATCAGTTTTGGAATATTTGAGAAACCAAGTGTTCAGCGACAACTTGCAGTTACCTTCATTAGCAAAGGACAGATTTCAAACTGTACCTTCGTTCATACATTTTATTTGTACATTCAATTGTTTAACTGCCTTTTAACTCTTTTACAGGTATCGTGAAAACTGAGCTCTCCCGTCATGTGAGTCTATGGCAGAAAGTGTTCATTGAGCCGGTGGCCTGGCTGCTGTTCCTGGACCCAACCACCGGCGCCCAGACTACACTCCACTGCGCCTTACAGGAGGGCATTGAGGCTCTTAGCGGGCGTTACTTCTCCTGCTGCGCTGTTCAGGATGTGAGTGCCAAAGCTAAAGACGATGCTGTGGCCAAGAAGCTGTGGGAAGTGAGTGAGAGATTAAGCGGCCTCTCCTAAACCCACAAGAACTGTCTATCTCACAGCCTAAGAGACTGAAACCAGCAGTCACTCAGAGTGTGATGTGATGTAAAATAAAAAATGTGTAAAATAAATATTGGTGAGATTCTGCAGAATGTGATGGATGCAGGTGGTAGCAAATACAACACTTTGTACTGTATGTGGAGTTCCTTTTTATAGACTGTAGTTATTTTGAAATATTGTAATAAAGTATGCATTTAATGTGGCGTCCTTGGTGTCTTTGTGGAGATCTCTGCTTTCAATGCAGTGCGTACCAAACGCCTGCCTCTAAGTGCTCATAATATGGCGGCTTGTCAAAATCCAAAGCAGACAAAACTTTCATCGGGTGTCGTGACAGGTGTCACATTATGCTCCTGTAGGCAACAAAATTAGAGAGGCAAACTGTCAATAACCAAACCGCTGTGTAACCACTCGTGTCCTGAGTCACTCAACAGCATCACAACTGAAGGTGATAAGGGAATGTTGACCATAATCTCTACTCTGTGTGAAGAACAGGTTCATGAAATCAAATGAGGTCATCTTTAAAGTTACACGACACCCATAATCATCTCAATTTTTAAAAAAATATTTCTGCCAAATTCAGGATGCCACTGTTGAGATGAACAGTCACTCAGACAGTGATGGTGATAGGAACCAGGGGTCCCAATGTCTACAACACAAATACAGCCATTTTATTTACTATGTTTATTTACCACTTTTATTTACCAAAACCAAAAGTGAACCTATGGGTCTTATATCTTCACCTTGCATCCTCGTAAACCTTCATCTCCAAAAAGTAGCTTTGCAGGAGAAAAAACACTCGTAAGGTTTTATTCTAAGTCATTTTGGATCGTTTCTCTTGGTCTGTTTGTCATGGATTTTTAACATTAGGCAAACACAAAACTGGTATTTCTATGCAAAGTATGAAAAATGGAGATGCAAGGTTTTGTCCCAACAGCGATATGTAATGTCGATGCTACAATAGTGATAAACCTAAAAACGTTTTCTTCAGGGACTAATTTGGCTCATGACGCTCTGTATGTCCCCCTCCGCCATTAAATTATTGTAAAAAATGAGTCATTCTATGGAAACGTCCATTTTTGTGTCCCTAGCGTTTACAAATATATTACACTTGAAAAACATGTTAGAGTTACAATTTATTTACATTCTAAAATAAAACAATGTTATTTTAACAATTACACCTTCTTCAGAATCAATTTAGCAATATTGGTTTTTAAATCAGTTATCTAGAATTCCAAGCACCACAGAAGAGCTCGTCCTCACAGTCATGTGTGAAGGCTGAGGCCATATTTTGGGGTAAAAAACATGTTTTTCTGCCATTTTAACTGCAATAATCTATACATGACTATGAAATATGGTTAATATGATAAATAAATTTGATTTAAATGAAAGAAAACAAATGCCAAATACTATAAAACATATAATGGAAGTTGTGGTCCCCAATGTCACTGGTGTTACTGCGTAACAAAAAATCTCTTATTTTGAAATAAAATCACACTTGACTTTGTTTCACCCGTTTTCTGGGGATCTATGAAGAAAAGCACATGGTGAGTCCACTGTGTCTTTCAGTTATCAGAGATTTCTCATTTAGCTCGTGATTTCATATGAAGCTTTTAGTTGAAGTCACTGGTGTGACCGACTTTATTCTGAGGTCATTGGGAAAAAATAGAGTATAAATGGATTAAATTCCATATTTTAGTGGATGTTCCATGATTGACAACATGTGGTTTGATGCTCTGTAGCAGCCATTTTTTAAAATGCATTTTTCATTAAAAATGTTTCTGGTGTTTCCTTTCTTATGTGTAACACCAATGACCATCAGTAACACCAGTGACTCCTATGGAGAGACAGAAAAGTGGACATTTCTGTAGAATGACCCAAATATATATATTTCAGTTTGGGGATAAGACTTTGGCCTATCATAAAAAGCAATGTTTATGCCTCAGGCAGCATTCACCCTCATGTAATCATTTTCAGTGATATACTTTTGAAGGCATTAAGCTCTAACTCATCTGCTTCCTATCACCACCACTGTGAACAAATCTGATTGCAAGCTTCTCCTGAACGAAGCATTTCACATCAAGCCACTCTGAATGACCATATCACCATGCAATTATGCAGACATTTTGAAAAATTGGTGGAATTCTCCTTTCAGCGCTACTTGTTTTGTCACCTTTCAGAAATCCAGGTCAAGTTCAGAAATAACTCGCATTTTTTTCTGACACTGTGCTCCTTTATCTTTATCCTTTAAAGTCATTACACAAGCCTTTCCAGTTTTTTTCAGCAGACCATCTCACTCCAGGCTACACATCCTCATTCTGGACAAGACACCAAACCGCACATCACTTCGTAGGGTCAGGAGTTCGCATTGCTGAATAATGAGGTGCACTTGTGTCAAGTCACGTATTGACTGTCTTTCAAACAGTTGCAGCCCCGATGAAACACTGAGACAACAAAACAGGCCAACATGAACACAAAACATCCACGTACGTTTGTCTTTTTTGCTTTGAGTGAGGCTTACATCTCTTTGAAAGCCTCTTCTGAATTTTTATTATTTAACATTTTCACATGATAAATACAAATTCATTTCCAAATCCTGTTGCTAAGGCAACACTGTTGGTCTGGGTGCTCTTAGCAGCTTTCGAAACGACGCTGAGATCTGAAAGTCCACTCCAGCGCAAGATTGTGGGTATTATTCTGAGACATCGTATGGAGGAGGTGCCACAAAACCAGGAGAACAACTAGAAGAATTTGGATAACATGCAACAGACCTCAAACGTATCGACAACAGAGCAGGATTTAAAGTTCCTCTAGTTCTCTAACTACCTTTCAGCACAACTTTCATCATTTAAAACTGCGAGCAGTGAAAAAAAAAGCAAACCTCTTACATAGTGTTACTCTATGCTTCAAGCCATCTGTAAACTATAATAGTGTTAAAGAGAAAAAAAAGACATTTACATATTAGGAAATAAAACAAAACACAATCCAATCAGCTGACAATAACTAAAATGGTGGAAATAAATTACATTAGCCAAAAACGACAGGAACTGAAACTACGGACAATGAGAAGCAGCATGAACCGAATAATGGGTTCGGAGCAGCTGGACTCCGTAAGCAGTAATACTGAGATGCCCTATAACCTTTTAACAACACTAAAGTGCTTTATGAGCCTTGCCAAGGAAATCTGTTCCAATAATATGACCCTCCAGCTTTGAGAGGATTGAGAAAGGTCGCCTTGCTGGCTCTTTCATGAAATGTCCACAACCTCCCGCAGCTCATCTCAGTCAACATCATACATCAGACAGTCCTGATGTGAAAACATACATGAAAAAATGACTAAAAATACTGACTGACCACAGAAAAGGCTAACGTTAGGTTCAAGATGCTCACTTTGTATTAGTTATGACAAACACGTAACACGTAAATCAGTGTTCAGAGTGTTTACAGAGAGATATATTCAGCGTAAACATACAGTACTGTGTAAAAGCCAGAGACCGACCTTCGTTCAATTTTCAATCAAAAAGGCCATTAAGTAAAAGTTAATCATTTTTAGCGTAAGTCTTGGGAACACTACACTTCTTTTAGAGTCTTAACAGATTATAAGACTGGGTGTTTCACACCATACGACTGGTTTTTGCAGGTTTTTTGGGGCGACTGAAATGTTGGGGTCCACACACTACTCAACTTTTAAGCTGTTGCTGAAACCAACAGAACTCACTGAGTTTGTGCGAACTCACGTGAACTCACGCGAACTCTCGCGTTCTCGTGTTACTAGGAGATGCAAATAAACAAACGTGGAGCTGCTGCTGCTGTTTTCTGTCGTTTTCGCTGAGACAGTAAAGAAGCAGCAGGTAAACATGTTTAAGTGAGGATCATAGATTTAAAATGTGATCAGTGTGTGATTTGTATTGTTTTAAATGTACATAAACACGATTGTGCTTTAAACTCAGCTCATTAAAAAGCTTCACTCCACACGTGAGAGACTTTCTGCCATTTTTCTTTGTTTACTTGCTGTATTTTCTTCTTTCGCGCTCTCAGTTTTCATTGGCTGCTGCAGGAGTTGAGTTGTTGATCAGTTTACACTAGATTACAGTCAGAGTCGGATCGAAAAAAACAAACGTTTGATAAACTCTGACTGGTCTGAAACGCGATCGCGAGGCCAATGATCTGAGTCTGCGCCCCTCACACACGACTCGACTCTCTCTCCCAACTGTCGACTCCGACTGACCCAACGATCTGCAGGCTAGAGCCGACCAGCACAGACTCGGCCAGACTGAGAATCATAGGAAGAAAACAGAAAATTGCACAGAAGCCTGAACGACTATTTAGTGCCCACTCTTTGCCTCTGCAGGGATTTTCTGCACACCTACAAAGTTCAGTCTTAGAAGTTGGTTTAGCATTTTCTGCTTCTCAAGATTCAGTAACGCTGAGGTCTGGACTCTGGGGTGGTCAGCCCATTGTTCTGAGAACACCAGCAGCTTCTTTGTCTTTCCTCAGTGAGGGCTTCTTAACAGCGTGACAGTCTTCTCACAGTGGAAGGATGGACAGAAACACCTGTGGATGTTTTCAGATCTGAAGCAGTTTGATTTTCTCCTCTCTCTCAAAGCTTTAAGTGCTGTTTATCTGATGGGGACAGTTTTGGTGTCTACCAGCTCTTGCAGGTGGTTGTCAGGAGTCCCATTTTCTCTGTAGCTTTAATATTTTTTTGAAATCTAGTTTTGTAAACTCTTGTTTTTTCACCAATTTTCCCTTGACTTCCCCCTTCCTCATACAAGTGAATTATCTGATATCTTGTCCCCTCAGAAGTATCTTCAGAAAAAATGAGTAACTTGTACTTAATGGCTGTTTTGGCTGGAAAGTAAACAAATAACGGGTGGTCTCTAATTTTTGCACAGTAGATTACATACAAATTCATACCCATCTAAAATGCACTACATAAAAATTGCCACTTTTCCCTTCAAGAAGTCCATTTTCTTCTGATCGTGTTCTTGGCTGGGGAAGCCAGCCCCTGCCAGCACTGTGAATATGCGTTTCCACAGGAAGTGAACAACAGAGTTGAATGCCAGATTAGCCAATGCTGTTAATTCCTTTTTTTGTGTTTACTGAAATGTGCTAAATTCATCTTAAAGGCCCCATTGAAAGGACTCGACCCAACAAAAACAAAGGGTTTTTCTGTAGACCTCCAATCCAATGGTTTTCAATGATC